TTTTACGTTTTTAATGAAAGAATTCAATTTCATCGTAAGAAACAAAATACAGGAACTGCAGTGGGAATTGATGGTATCATCGTCTTCATAGCTGCAGGGGAATCATTGGTATAATCGTCTTCATGGCTGCAGGGGAATCATTGGTATAATCGTCTTCCCAACTGCAGTGGGAATCCTTGGTATAATTATCTTCACGGCTGCAATGGCAATCATTGATATATTCATCCTTCACAACAGCAATGGGAATCACTTTTGCCTCTTACTCATTGAATGAACACCCAAAGGAAGCATAAGAAATAGATTTAATACTGGAACTCAATACGAGTGACGTGCATGTATATTGCCTCAGTTGACAACTGTAGTAGCTGTGGTAGTCCACATTTCTGACTAATGGCCTCCAGAGAAACGGAGCAACCTGCCAGTACATGAGCAATATATCGCTCCGCTCAGATTGACAAGGATTGTGCTGATGATGGAGAGTGCTATCACTTCATATCGAAATCTGATGGGAAATCAACAAGATCATGGGGCGGACATGCAAGCACTTGTCTCTCCTCGAACATAATCGTTAGTGCCAGCTTGACACTTTGGGGAAATTGGACATACTTGAGGCTTTGGTAATAATTGACACATTCGACATTTGTTTCAGTTGAAGTGACGCTTGAATGAGTTACAGAATAACTAACAAGCTTAGAGGAATTTGAGGATATGAGGGTTCTTCTACAAAACATGGTCAATGTTGTGATGGGGATGGTGCTGTGGTTCCTCGAAGCACCAACTGATTGTTGATATATGTATGTGTGTGATATTTATTATTTACTTTAGTGTAAACGACTGAGTTTTCCGAAGTGGAGAAAAGGGATATTTTCATTGCAGTGACCATAACACTTGATATTTCACTGCAGTGAACTTAACACTTGACGGACCTATTGTCATAAAAGAGTAACCTCCCCTTACACTGTCTCCATCGTAAGTGTCTAGACCGTACATAAACTGTTGTCGTCCTTTTTTCGTTAGTTCCAAATTGACAAGGCAAAATAATGACAAATGGTCGTTTATGGCGTTAATATCACTTCTTGACGTTTGTTATTATCTCGAAAATGTTTCGTTATAAACTGTAAATTCCTCATTTAACTCGTCAATCGAGACTGTTCGTTTCGCAAAGCCCCATTTTTGTTACTTGACCAGCGTGTATTCTTTCGCTTCCAACAGCGGTCTCCTAGGTTTCAAGATTATTCTTTTTTAAAGTTGGTTTTGTATGTAATCATATCTAAGTATATGATCAAGAATTTTCGTGACCCTATAAATTTTTTGATACTTTTGTTTATATTGTTTAGATTTTGCAAACACGAAACTACTTTTTAAGTCGCAAATACAAGGGGTGGTGAACCGTCACTGTGTGTTAGGTAGGGAGAATTTACGTTTCAATGTTTTACGTTTTTAATGAAATAATTTAATTTCATTGTAAGAAACAAAATGCAGGAATGTGTACAGGAATAATCACCAACAAACTTCATTGACATCAAACTGGTTCTCTAAGGGATACTAAATGTTGACTTCGTAAATAATTGATGACGTATCATCGCAAAGATGCAGACAAGCAGACATTGGAGAGTTATTTACTCGACGTGTGTGGGTTGAACGTTAACATCGCTTTGAAGAATATTTACGGTAGCTAAATCTGAAGTGATGCAGGTCGTTGAAGTTTGCGAGTTTGATGAATCCAAAGGGTACGGCATCGAAAACAAAGGATCATAATCGGAAGAAATCTTGGATTCTTAGGATCCTGCCACGGATTCGGGACGCAATTTTGGACAGCCAACTGCGGCGGCTTAGATGACTGAACAATGTCTGAGCCTTACTTAATTATTTTCAGCTCTTACGGCTTAATAGACACAACATCTGATAATAAGACCGGGGAAAACCATTTACATTTTGAATTGTTCTCGTCTGTTAATTATGTGTTAAATTAATAAACCAACAAATGAGGAACATGACATCCAGTTTGAGTATCCAGACACACACGGCTTTGAGTGCTTACAATTTTCAGTATTACTCGACAATCTCCTGAGACAGCTCCAAAAAGTTAAAGGTTAATGACACCTTGTAGACATAATGAAATACGCGGACCTCGTCGGAAGAAATTGTTCAGAAAGGTCATTCGCATTTAACGTCCACTGTAATATAGATTGGTTTTAGTAGGTTCATTTGTCAGAATGTGCGTAATAGCCCTCGAATAGACCCTACAGCATATGGTTTCAAATAAAGTAGCAGGTCAAAGCACATATATCTTCGGCGAAAGCAAACAAAAAGCATCCTTTATCAAAAAATTATCCCGTCCTGTGTTTATTAGTGTGTAACAATATGTGGATAATCTAATGATAGTTTCGGACAGTTGATTAGTGAGTGAGTGAATTAGGTTTAACGCCGCTTCTAACACTATTCCTGTTACATCACTGCGTGTAAGTTTGATGTGTGAGGAAAGCTCGAAATTTGATGCTTTGTATTGTTTGTTTATTGTTAAAAGCCGCACGCTATATGACGGCGGTCTGTAAATAATCGAGGCTGGACCAGACAATCCAGTGATTGGCATCATGAACATCGATCTTAGCAATTGGGATACGATGACATGCATCAACCAAGTTAGTCGCCTCTTACGACAAACATGGTCGCCTCTTACGACAAGCATGGGTTGCTGAAGACCTATTCTACCGCGGATCTTATCGGGTTCTGACAAGTGAGTGGAGCAATGCTGTTAATACACTCTCTGCAATATTCCATGTCCGTCTGGAAGTTACCAAATCTGGGCCAAATGATGATAAATATGACCAGCGTCCCAAGACGATGGACTACCATGGCACTATCAACCAAGTCCCAGAGTCTGACAATCTGGTCCTTCATAGTTATAGGAACTGTGGACCAATTCTCACAGGATGCCAAAGGTCCAAACACCAATTACAGTATCGAAGTATACTTGTGCATAGTCTTGAGTGAGTGAGTGAGTGAATGAGATGGGTTGAGCACAGCTTTGTACAGTCTTGTGGTTATATCACATGTGTCAGATTATTGTTCTTTGGGGTATAAGGTTTCGCAGTTGTAAAATAATCTCTCTTATCTGTGTGTACCGTCAACTGCCCTTAGCCCCAGCAGTTCTCCAACCATCCCTGACATGCCAGTATGTCAATTTTGCCATATGGTTGGTTGGTTTGTTGTTTTACGCCACTCAAAAACATTCCAGCTATATGATTGCCGTGTGTAAAAAATCGAGTCTGGACCAGACAATCCAGTGATTAATATCATGAGCATCGATCCACGCAATTGGGATTGATGACATGCATCAATCAAGTCAGCGAACCTGACCACCCGATCTCGTTAGTCGCCTTTTACGACAAGCATAGTCACCTTTTACGGCAAGCATGGGTTGCTGAAGACCTATTCAACCCCGGAATCTTCATGAATGGTTACTTGATGATCGAAGGGAAGGTCCCCTCTTTCCACCTTTACTGTGCCTAATATATTGGGAATGAGTAGTCTTACTATGGTGATTTAAATAGTTTGTTTTTTTTCTTTGATATGTGAACAGCAAATATATATAAATATATATTATATATTTATATACCTGCCGAGACCCCTTTAGCTGTATTCCCCACGCGGTTGATCTTCAGAACATTAGACATATATGTTAGATAATTATTTCATAATCACCAGCTGTCATTGACCCACTGGCCTATTCCGGAAAATGAAATACCCTACTGCAGAGTTCAAAGAAAACCAGCCTGCTCACTTTTGAGCAAAACCTTTACCGTTTCCATAGCATATGGGGGAGGAAACCCCGAGGTGATGGAGCTCTCATACGTTTACCAATCTGGTGAAACCCACCAGCACAGTATAGTGCTGACAAACCAAGAAACATAAGTGAGGCGAACCCACAATCATAGGTTTCTGGTGTTCCCAAGGGAGGAAACTCTGCACAGTGAATCCAGCCACCCGTGCCGCACAGTCTTGAAACAGATACAGAGTTGCGTAAATGTGATCCTCAGTAAATGTCATCGAAGCCGCTGATGGATATACCTGCTTGCTGATATATACCCTATATCTTCACTTTGAGATGTCACTACACAAATACAGTACATATGACACATCAACACCAGAGAAAAATCAGTCTCAATTATCTGCCAAAACAGATTCCATTTGGTGTAAAAGGCAAAATAGCCTTGAAGATTATATGTCTGGAACACTGATCAGTGATGACACCAGCTGTTCACGAAACGAGTAAGCATGTCCGCCTTACCAGTAGCACCACCACACAGTCTGCATAAACTGGTAAGTGTTTTCTTGTTGTTTGACACAACATTCTCCATCTATTCTTTTGAGAGCCTAGTTGAATAATGGACACATTCAAAATAATATTTTGTAACGTGTCCATTATTCAACTATGCTCCCAAAAGAATAGATGGAGAATGTTGTGTCAAGCAACAAGCAAACACCTTACCAGTTTATATTTTGAAACGATAATGCTCCGGGGTAGAATAGGTCTTCAGCAACCCATGCTTGCCGTAAAAGGTGACTATGCTTGTCGTAAAAGGCGACTAACGGGATCGGGTGGTCAGGCTCGCTGACTTGGTTGATACATGTCATCGATCCTAATTGCGTGGATCGGTGCTCATGATATCAATCACTGGATTGTCTGGTCCAGACTCGATTATTTACAGACCGCCGTCATATAGGTGGAATATTGCTGAGTGCGGCGTTAAACAATAAACCAACCAACCAACCAATTGTTACGATAATGAACATCCATGCAATATATCATACAGTAACTTTCAAGAAGAAAAGCAATATGGGACAATGATGGATCAACAGTACTCACATCATCATAGCATTTGTCTAAACTTGATGACCCATACGAAGACATCATTCAGCATGTTGTAAAACAGGAATACAAGGTTGTTTGGTACATATCTACTGACTATACATGAAAAAAATGAAGGACAAAAAGAGTTTTTCCATTTTGTATTATTTTCACTCTCCACACGACTCAGTCACACGGTATGTACAACATGCTCATCACAGTGTCAGTGTATTATAATGTCAAGTCCCGGTGTTCTTTAGCGCTAAGTGTCACTTCTTCTCTCTTCTCTTATCCAAGTCACCAGGTGTGATTTCATATTCTGGGTATACTGGAAACTTCTCTGAAAACAGAAACAACTTCATCAGACACAAGTGCAGCACATCCTTCCATTACCCAGTTCACATACATCCACAAGTTTCATGAAAAGAGAATAAAATAAAATTAATAAAAGAGATGTTGTCTTTTTTCCCTGTCAAGAAAACTTTTCTGGTAAATTCAGGAATGAAAACTTCAAAGTAGGACAATAGGGGAAAGCAGTTAACCCTTTGACTTGACATTTCCCCACAACTTTTAGTTTCTTTATTTCCCAAGAGAAACAATACTTTTAAGGAACTGCTTTAAGAGCTATATATTTTTGTTCACAGATTTAAAAAAATAATAATCATAAAATTAATTACCATTTCTTGAAAATTAGAGGCTAATTAGCTTCTACTTTATCTAGTTCAAGGTATTGTGAATTTGTCATCCTGTCTGATGTTTAGAGGTGAGGTGTAATGGGGTTTAACATCGGTTCAAAGATTATTGCACTTATATAGCGACATGCATGCATGCATGTGCGTGTGTGTGTGTCTGCTTGTACAAGTCCAGACTGATGCCGATTTATAGTGCTAGCCCACTGAGATACCATGCTGCAGTTTAACATGAATACCCCACTCAGACACAGTATACTGACTCTGAGCGGACCAGTACTTATTTTAGCTCCTTAATGCCGAGCAGCAGGCAGGGTAATAACGAGTACCATTTTTAACGTCTTTTGGAGTGCCAATGCCGGGGATCGAAATTCGGACCTTCCACTCTCCGGGCGGACGCTCTACCACTAAACCACGAAGGCGGTCTCTGATATTTAGACAGTTTATTGTCAACCTAGTCAACTACTGAGAGATATTACTAACATAAGTTTGAAGGCTGTGTTTCGCTCACACAAATATCCAAATTGTTGTTGCAAGAATACACTATGAAGAGGTGACTAACAGAATCAGGTGGTCAGACACTGACTTGGTTGATGCATGTCATCGTATCCCAAGTGCATAGATCGAGGCCCGTGGTTTCAATCACTGGATTGGCTGCTCCAGACTTGATTGTTTACAGACTGCCATCATATAGCTGGAATATTGCTGAGTGCAGCATTAAACAACAAACAATCAATTTCTTATTGCATAAATACTGCATGCTACAAGTCTCACTCACTCTTGCTGCTGTCCCCATCCGGGTCCACATCAGATGTGTAGGATGCTCCGCCTTCCACTCTCTTGGAGGACGAGCCACCCTCCTTTGAAACAGAAACAGGTTCATAAACATAACTTGTCACAGTCCTAAATTAAACAATGACTACAATAATATGTTCCTGCTAAATTTAATCGTGTGTGTGTGGCTGATTGGACTAGTCTGCACTAATGCCGGTTTAATAGAGCTAGCCCACGGAAATACAGCAGTTTAACATGAATACCCCACTCAGACTGCCTCCGAGCTGATCAGTCCTTGTTTTATGCGCTTAATGCCAAGCATCAGGCAGAGTAACAACAAGTACTATCTTTCAATGTCACTTCATAAGACGTGGATGGCGATAGAACCACCAACCTCCTGCTCTCCAGACAGACGCTCTATCCACCAGAACACTGAGGCAGTCGTGGAAGGTATGTATTCATGCATTTTCTGTGACATCTTTTCCCTGTATCCTATCCCTGTACACAGGAGGATGGTTTCATTAGACTTGTGTTGATGTAACTAACACTATCTAACTAACTCCTTTGATTCATCCCTTTAATGGTGAGACCGCCTCCGTGGTCTAATGGTAGAGCGTCCGCCCGGAGAGCAGAAGGTCCGGGGTTCGATCCCCAGCCACGTCATACCAAAAGACGTGAAAAGATGGTACTTGTTGTTAACCTGTCTGGCACTCGGCATTAAGGGGCTAAAACAAGGACTGGTCGGCTTGGAGTCAGTATACTGTGTCTGAGTGGGGTATTCATGTTAAACTGCGGCATGGTATCTCAGTGTGCTAGCACTATAAATCGGCATCAGTCCGGACTAGTACAAGCAGCCACACACACACACATCCACGTGCATGCACGTTGCTATATAAGTGCAACATTCTGGGCAGCGACGTTTAAACCCCATTTCACCTCACCTCACCTTTAATGTTGAGTACCATCCTTATCGTCTTTTGGTTTCATGCAGCCCGGGACTGAACCACTAGCCTTCTGCTCTCCGGGCAGACACTCTATCCACTAGACCACAGAACCAGTGGTGCAGTCTGGAAATATATCAATGTTTCTTGTTCCTGCAAACACTCACCTCCTTCTCCTCCAGCTCCTTGGCACGATGTATCGTCCTCATCATCAACGCATAGTTACGATCTATCTCCTGCAACACAACATTTATATCACATCAAACATACAATTACAAAAAGGGTTCAATCCTTCAAACATTTACTTACAATATGTATCACACACAGGTATTCATCACCACAAGTTTTAAACATCATAAATTCAATACAACTACAAAACATTCATTTTCAAAACATTTGTTCAACATCCACATTACTATTATTGCAATAAACTTTGCAAACTTTGTATAGACTTGATATAATGTTTTATAATCCTGAGCTAAGGCTTATTCAAAATAAAAGAATTGGTCCTCAGGCAATGACTTTTGGAAATATTTTGTGGGCGGGCGATGTTTTTTTGTTTTTTTTCGCTTGTTCAAACTACAGTAAACTATGGTTGTAACAAACTCAAAGGGACCTCTAATATTAGTTTGTAGTTCATTATAAGCATATATACAGCATATATACAACAAAAGTCAGGACAAAAATAAGTTTGTTATATCCGTCAGTTCGTCATAAACGTGGTCATTATAAACGTAGTTTACTGTAGTATGTAACCAAATAAACAGGTGTGTATCATCAACAATCATAAACAAGCATACAAACTATTGCGGCCATGCCCATCACAAGAAATACACAGTAAAGCATGTAAAGGGAAGTAACTGTGTGCTATTTTGGCTCTCACTGTTTTAAAGTAAAATGGAAATAAAAACGAAACACGAGGCAGACTTTGTGAGGATACAGGCGGTGCCTGAGAACCAAGACTATTACATGTTTTTAGCCTAATGTTTTCCAAGATGTCCTATAGTTCTGCAGTACCTCCTGTGTGGGCGGCCGTTTCCTCCTCCCCCTCAACCAGGCTGCAACATGAACAATTCATTAACTCCATGAGGGTTACATCTTGACAAACAACAAGATGAAACTGGAATCACAAAATGATATCATCTCATATCTATTTTTTTGGCGGGGGGGGGGGGGGGGGGAGTTGTTCAAACTGGGGATGTAAACAAATAAACAGTTGTGTAAACAAATAAACAATTGTACATAAATGTATTCCTTGATGAGTAAAATACTGGAATACAGTATTTGACTACTGTTGGACATGGAATATTTTTGAATTTTATTTTTTTTATAAAATCTGTTACGTCGGCTTAAGGCCCAATGCAGACTACCCACGAAGACCATGTACCATTATGTTCATGAAATACTGAAGAAAGGTTAACTTATGCCTGCATATAAATGTTTCCATATTTAAAAAAGGATTCGTACATGGTTGAAAGATAAATATCGTGGTTTGTGCTGACAGCATAAAATGTTTATATACGACAGAATTTAATTGCCCATAATTAAGTGTGCACATATCACACGAGTGCGTATCATACGCGAATAAATAAGTCTTGTGTACACTGATCAATCGGAAGGGGTGCTAATTGGGATTGTTCACTGGCCAATATATTAGCAAATATCACCGTGGGCGCTTATTAGAGCGGGGCGCTTATTACGTCGAATACGGTAGTTGAAAAACAAGAGGTTTTTGTAGAGTTGTAAAAGCATGACAAGGAACTACACTACCGTTCCACTCAGTGGGCACATCTGGCACTGACCACTGGTCACCATCTGGCGGTTCCACCCAACGACTTCCTCGGAGGTTGTGAGATTTATCTGCAATTCAAATCAAACAAGATGATAATGTATCATGTATTTTTTTAGGACAAAGTTTCTATAACTAGTATTATATGCATGGTACATTATTTTGCAAGTATGCAATTAAACATATATATACAAAAGGGTTTTGTAACATCATGATGTCAATCACTGGATTGTCTGATCGGGACTTGATTATGTACAGACCGCATTATATAGCTGGAATATTGCTGAGTGCGACGTTAAACAATCAACAAAACAAAACAATATCACGGCTCCAGAAAGCTTCAACCAAGGGTCACATAGCTCATAACAGTTCAGTTACTTCACTCATACAGGTGCATTACAACTTGGCCTCCGTCTGGGCTAAGGGAGGCAACTGGTCGTTATCCTTCTTACATTACAACATGACCTGTCATATTCCTGTTCAAATTATAAAATAGATATGTTTCTATTCCCACTGATTGCAGTGAGGTCACAACAAACCCTAAGTTATAACAGCATAAAGGTTACTTTCATGCCTGTATCCACATCAGTAGCGTTCATTTCATTACACTGTCAACTTTGTCAACATATTACATAGAAGTAGTGTAAGAATGTACACATGGCTGAGTGTTAAATGATACCAGCGTCCACCAGCGATCTTAGCGCTAAGATGATCTTAACTCCCATACTTTAACATAGGCTTACAATAGTCTTAGCACTAAGATCGTTTTGTGCAAGTGAACCCAGGGCCTCATTCCTCAAATCGATCTTAGCGCTACAATGACCGTAAGCCTTTGTTAAAGTATGGGACTTACGATCCCTTTAGCGCTAAGATTGATTTGAGGAACGGGTCCCATGACTAACTGCTGGCATACATTATGCATTAACCTAAAGCAGTCTCATGTTGTTATGAGATGAGTGAGACAATACCGTTCTGTTAATTAGCACTAATTGACTACAAAGATCAATCAATATATATCTTATAACAGCACAGATTAAGGAAGGGGGGGGGGGTGTTTTGGTATAACTCCCATACTTTAACATAGGCTTACAATAGTCTTAGCACTAAGATCGTTTTGTGCAAGTGAACCCAGGGCCTCATTCCTCAAATCGATCTTAGCGCTACAATGATCGTAAGCCTTTGTTAAAGTATGGGACTTACGATCCCTTTAGCGCTAAGATTGATTTGAGGAACAGGTCCCATGACTAACCGCTGGCATACATTATGCATTAACCTAAAGCAGTCTCATGTTGTTATGAGATGAGTGAGACAATACCGTTCTGTTAATTAGCACTAATTGACTACAAAGATCAATCAATATATATCTTATAACAGCACAGATTAAGGAAGGGGTGGGGGTGTTTTGGGGTGGGGTGTATGATGGTGGGGGTGTGTGGGAGTTGTTGACGCCGCACCGCTAAAATTGAAAAGGAAAATATCTTACAATGTTCAAATGATTAAATTCACATTAAACCAAGGCAATACTGTCGACACACATGGAATCCTTACCGGTATTACATTTACAACACAGGTTCCCCACAACTAATGAACATGATGAAAGGATCGCATACATATTCTGTACTCGTCTGGTAAAATTATCCCAATCAGATTGCAGGCCTAGCCAGCCGTGCTTATTATGCCACACCTCCTCATTTGTACTTTTAAGATTCATTTGGGATGTTACAAATACAGACGTAAAAATACTAACTTTTAATTAGTGCAACAGAGCTAAATTTACGTTTTCACACCTTTTTTTCTTGACCATTACATTGTATATCATAGTGGCTACAAAATGATGGAATAAAATTTTGTTAAGATACTTGCACTTCTATACCTCTAACCAGCTGCACTCCTACCTGGTTTCCACCACAGGACCACGTAACTGATAATAATAACAATAAACAAACTCACAAAAAAACTTGTAGTCAAGTTTGTTTTGTTATGATTTTTATTATTATTATTAGATCTAGTTACATGGTCCTGTGTTTCAACATATCATTGTCCCAAATTGTTATCTAAAGGACACGCGAACAAATTGTTGGAGGTGAAGTGATAAATCCCCAAATTTAAATAAGCTATCTGTCTTCTTGGCTTTTCGAAAAACCTGCGTCACCAGATTGTTATTAGATCTACTTGTTGAAGCATGTCATCGATCCCAATTGCGTAGATCGACGCTCATGATATCAATCACTGGATTGTCTGGTCCAGACTCGATTATTTACAGTCCGCCGTCATATAGCTGGAATATTGCTGAGTGCGGCGTAAAACAACAAATAACAACTTGTGGTCTAGTTCAAGCACTAGGCCTGCTTGAAATTGACGTAGTCCCGTTTTTCTCTTACTGCTAGGTTATTCAAAGGTCTTACCGTCTTCCTTCTCAAAATATTTATTTCCACTGCGATCAGCCCCTACCAACTTAGTGGTAAGTTTTGGTGCACTGAGAGAATTTCTAAAATTTTGTATGATGGTGGCAATAATTCCTCCCTGGCGTGACATTTGTTTGGGTAGAATATTTCACGTCCTGTCTTTAATATCCGGGGCCTGCCTCGAAGGGTATTCCGTAGCTGAAGTAACAGTTCTTTTGATTGGCCATATTATTGTTGAATACACCAATCAAATATCCTGTCGCCGATGTGATGCTTGTTGAGCCAAGATGGCGGACAGGAGAGGCAAACGCTGTGGTTCTGCATCGAAAGAAAGACAAACTGTGAATAAATTTGCGAATGATGGCAGTTTCTTGGAAATGTTTAAGAAGAAAATGGAAGAGCAAAAGGCTCTTGGTGACAAGCCAGTGACTGTTCCCGATAAAGACGATTCTCCGACACAATCATCTGAAACGGACAGTGGAAAACTCAGCAAAACGAACATTTTGTCTATTGTAAGATTTCAGAAATTTGTGGTTTGTGCATAGCCTAAAATATTGATTGGACGATTGCTCGATTTTTCATTAAATTTATGTTATTCACTTAACTGTTCAAGTCTATTTGATGTCAAAGATGTGTGACAATTAAAAATACAGTAAACATATTCTTACGACAGTTGTAGTTTTGCGCTACGATCGCTATATATATATACCGTATTCGACGTAATAAGCGCCCACAGCGATATTTGATAATATATTGGCTAGTGAACAATTCCAATAAGTGCCCCTTCCGATTGATCAATGTACACAAGACTTATTTATTCGTGTATTATATGCACTCGTGTGTTATGTGCACTCTTAATTATGGCCAATTAAATTCTTGAAAAATATATCTGTCGTGTATAATACACACAGACTTTTCTTTTGTATCATTTCAGGCTGTCAGCATAAACCATGAAATTTATGATTTTTCAACTCTTTTTTTTCACCAAAATTTTATTCTAATAAGAGCCACCTATTTCTAATTTTGAGAGCGCCCTGAGCGCTTATTATGTCAAATACGGTAATACATATCTGTGGGTATTGGATAGACTATACATATACGTCACTGAATAATTATAATCATGAAAGATCAACACATCTAACAGGGATGGAAATTAACACTAGCCTACTACCCCGGACCAGTTTTGTTATTGTTGGTATACTTAAGGCCAGGAGGCTAGAATTTCAAACAGTTGCGGGGTATTGTTGTATGTTATGACTATTTGGGCGAGTAGATGTTCTTGGTTAATTTTGGGGCATTGGGGGTAGCGTAGTGGTTAGGTGTTTCGCCGAAGATCCAGGTTCGATTTCCCACATGGGTCAATGTGTGAAGCCCATTTCTAGTGTCCCCTGCCGTGATATTGCTGGAATATTGCTAAAAGTGGCGTAAAACTATACTCACTCACTTATTTGGTTAATTTCAATCCTGCCCAATGGTTAACTGACAGTCTGAAATAGACTAAAGGTAATACACACCAATGAAAGGTGGACATGAATGCATTTTACTGGACACTTTCTGCCAGTTTGGTAAGGGATGTGCATGGGCTCCTTCCTTGGTAAGTTTCTTCATTTTTCAGATGCCATTTTTCGATGCCATTCTGAAATAGTAGGGGGTTAAAATGTTGCCTCGATTGGTGTCACTGATGAGGTTACCAGTATGGAACTTCTGTTTTCGAGAAATCTTCGATGTTAATGTCCAATTTTCGATTTTTACCAATGTGAATTACTTTGATCCATTTCAAGGTTAAAACATATTGTACCATACTAATGCAAGCAAAGTCATTTTTTTAATTGGTTTGTGCTTTATCGCCCTATTTTGCAAATAGTTAACATGATAAGGCTGTACGTCGCATGCAGGTATATTAGTAGCATCAAACAAACATAGGGGACAGGTGTCCAGTAAAAAGCATGTGTACCGAAATTGTTAGGAATCCTTTACTTTATGGTGGGATTTTCAGGAAAATTTATTGTAGTTATGGATTGTGTAATTTTGTACCCCCGAATGTGGGGACACATGTAGCCAAGATGCTGCATTTTGCAGTGAAGAGTTGCATCACTTAGTTGTGTTGAATCTGTGAATTTGGGCTTCAAACCCCAGATTAACCCGATTAAGTACCTAGATTTGCCAGCTTCATACACGTTGGTTTCAAGTGGATAAGTCTATAATCTGCATCAGTTTGCGCTTTCTTCCTATATTAGGCTGACAGGCCTTGATTTAAATGAAATATTGTTCAAAAAGTATAAATAACTCATGCACAAAACAAAAGGTTCTGAAGTACTGTAATAATTTCATACCCAAACAGTGTGATTGGATAAATCTTTGCCAACCCTTTTCCTCAAATAATCTTTTACTTTTAATCCTGTTGAACTACATCTGCTCAACATGTTTTTTTCTCTTATTAAATGTATTAGTGAAGTTTTAAATTATTTTTTACATCTAAGATTACGTGTGGAAGGTATTCTTTGGATTAAAGGACACTTCGTTATTTTGATTTGTTGCCTTTCTGTTCATGGTGTTGTCATCATCTGGACCTGTGTCGTTATTATGATGTTAAGCAGTTTCCTTGTTGGCACATTTTACATAGAAAAGCATTGGCTATAAATATCAGTAATGAATACCGTGATGCCTTATGATAAAAACAGATTAACCCTCCTTTATATGTTTCTGACCTATTAGAAAACATCTGGCAAGGTAATATGTGAGAAAAGTAATTGTAGTTTAAAATTAACAAAGGATTATCCTGGTTAGATAGAAATGGTATGTATGTTCAACTCATTCCCTTATTGGTACATGTTTGACATGACAGGGAGTGCAGATTACCGTATTTGACGCAATAAGCACCAAGGCGATATTTGCTAATATATTGGCTAGTAAACAATCCGAATGAGCACCCCTGCCGAATGATCAATGTACACACAAGACTTATTTATTCGTGTATAATATGGGGCGGTCGGGTAGCCTAGTGGTTAAAGCGTACACGCACAGACTTTTCTTTTGTATCATTTCAGGTACATAAACCTTGAAATTTACGATCTTTCAACTCTGATTTCTTTTTTCACCAAAACTATATTCTATTCAGAGCCCCCTATTTCTAATTTTGAGAGCGCCCTGGGCGCTTATTACGTCAAATACGGTAATGAATATAGACTGACAACAAATCACAAATAGATAACTGAGGCATATTTGTGCAAGTGCTATGTACAATTAGTTGTAACGTAAAAGCATTATAAATCTATTATCTGTTTGCATGAATATACAACATAGGGAAGGGAGAATCTAGGAACATGTCTCAATTAACAAATAAGTAACTGGTATCTATGCTATATCATGTACAAAGGTATCTGAAAGGAATTGTACCCATTTTTGTCCCTGGGAGCTGGAATACTGTGGCCTCCATCATCGTCTCAGCTGTAAAGCCATTGTCTCATGATGTTAGTGGTTCTGTCTCCCCAGGTCGGGAAACGGCGCGGCGGCAGCGCCAAGGTCCTCAAGACGGGTATGGTAAAGAAGCCAAAACAAGAAGAGGATGTATGTATTTGTCTCAGGAGAACTGTAACAGCCTTACACTTTCTTATGTTCATCACATGTTCATCATGTTCATGGCTACTAGCTCTGCTTAGAACTTCCTTTACATCAACGCTTTTTATGTTGGGTGTTTCTGCGATCAGTTATCTTGCATAAGAAAACCAGCATGTTTTGGCATAATGAACTTCAAAATTGAAGTATTTGTTGGTTTTCGAAATGATCAGTATGGGTAATGATGGTTCTGAAGGGATGAGACTAGGATCTAAATCTGTTGTTTATAAAGCTAAGCCATGTAGGACTGTTTCATTAACACCTTGTGAAATACCATGATGGTAATATGTTTATTTTACACTTATTTTCAGGAGGACAGTGGTGAGAATAAAGATGGATGGTCCAAGTATCTAGCTGAAGTCAATAAATACAAATCACAGATGTGCACGGATGAGGATAAAACACGACCACTAGTCAAATAATACTTGCATCTCATTGTTAATTGTGAAGTTTGCCTGACTTTGTAGCGATGGATAATGGCTCTCAATTTCTTTTCTTCTTTAACAAGTTTACCTATTTTCTTTTCAGTAAGGGTTATATATTTTTTCACAACAGTTTTGAGGTTTTGCAATCACCTTCAGGTCACTTGGGCTATCATGAGAATCAGATATGATGTTATTTAATACAGCACTTGCTTAAGCACATTCCTGATGAGGAGGGTGGGTGGTGTTTCATCATTACATTCTGTGAACAGTTTCAGTCCATGACAATGGATGTGAAGGTGTCATCCCTTGCTTATAGGAGACAAGTGAGTAGAGAACACTAAGACTTAACAAAATAAAAGAATTGGTTCTCAGGCAATGGTTTTTGAAAATATAGTGCGGGCGGGCGGACAGTGTCTTTTTTTTCTTTTTATAACCAAATAAACATATGTGTAACCAAATAAACAGTTGTGTACAATCAACCTGGGAAAGGGCCTCCATACATAAATGTATTCGTTGATGAGTAAAATACTGGAATACAGAATTTGACTACAGTTGGACTTGGAATATTTAAGCTTTTTTAATTATTTTTTGAAAATGGAAATTAAAACAAAACATGCGGCAGACTTTGTGATAATGCAGACAGTGCCTGAGAACCAAGATTATTATTTTTTTTAGCCTATTATGACCAAGGTCTGCTCTCTGGGATAAAACATTGCATTGGATAATAACAATCAGTGCATTGCTTCTAATAATGATTTTTTTATCAAGTTTTCTAGATCCTCGTTATGCTGGTTCAAAGCATTGAAAATAACACAAAATCCTCAAACAAAAATCAGTTAGTGATTTTGGCAGCTAGTCTCCCCAAAGAGTCCAGTGTAATATCTTTCAACTATTAGTAGTCATTGTATTAACACAAAGCTCTACAAAAAATGGTGCCCAAATAAAATATATAGCTGTTTTTCTTAAAAGATTATTTTGCCATTGTGTAGTTGTGGACCAAATATATTTTCACAGAATCATTTGGTATGTATGGCAAGCGTAGTTTATGCTGGTGTAATGTGAAGAAAATAGGCTGAGTCGTGTTGCATTGTTGTTGCTCAGTTATTGAATGTGGATTAGAAGCAGGCCAAAATGAATTAGGTTTAATTATATATATGAATGACTTAGCAAATATAGATGTGGTAATGTATATGTGATTTATGTTGATGTGTGGTATTTGTGTCAATAGATTTTGTATGCTGCTGACAAATCGGTGTGGCTGAGTTATTTACATGAGAATTCCACATACGCTATTACTGAAGTCAAATTCACTCGTGGGCCCACTTGCACAAAGTGATCTTAGCGCTAAGATGATCTTAACTCCCATACTTTAACATAGGTATGATAGTCTTAGCGCTAAGATCATTTTGTGCAAGCGGGCCCAGAACCTGAATGTATTCATCCTATTTTCTATTATGAAATATTTGTCTTTCAGTCAGATGTTTGATTGTTGACATGTACTCAGACAGCTACACTATCTACCTCATCGTGGCATCGTCACGTCCACGGGGCATTCCTTTCAATTCCCACTTTAGCTATTCCTCAGCTCGGTGCTGTACTTAAAACAAAGTTTCAGGGATTATTCTTAAACTTTACCTGCAAATGATACTAAAATGTAAACATCAACTTTCGAAATTGTTGTCCATTTTCAAGTAAATGAAACAATGTGAAAATTACTTTGAAAAGTTGCTGTGAGTAAAGATAGAAGTTGATATGTATATTCCTTGTTCCTGATTATACATTTCCAACTTGGACTGCCGTTGCAGGATGCTATGGTCGCTGTATCCCACTGAGTGTGTTGACTGTCGCAATCTCATTAAAATCAGATCTTAGTTATCGCTACCGCTAAACAAAGATCTGAGGACATCCCATTAGGGGTCACGTCAGAACGACCTTTCATCCGACCAATCAGAGCATCACTTACCAGGTCATGAAAGTGACAGTCGGAATGTGATTTCTAATCATGCAACCTCGAAAACTTTAGCAAGGGGTATTCCATACGATAGTTACGGGTTTAACGACTGAATGCATACAATCTAGACCATATATTTGCCATTCCAGAATGTTCTTTTGTTCTGGTTTCAAATTTTTATTCAAGAATTTGTCAAAATATGTTTCGAAGTGTAGTCGCCAATTTGAATTTAGTGCTGTAAAGCGCGAGAAAGCTGCCTTCTGATTGGCTAATATCGACTTCTTGTCAGTCCTTCCATTGGTTGGTTAAAATTCGCGCAAGGTCGGTCTGACGTGACCCGTAATGGAATGTCCTCAGATCTTTGTTTAGCGATAGCTAGAACTAAGATCTTATTTTAATGAGATTGTGATTGTCGTGTCTTTTGAAACACCATCACTGCTAATCACCCAGACAGAACATAGAAATGTGTCTATGCTATATCACATGCACTGTTCTATAAAAACATATTAATTAGAAATGTATTATTTTTCTTACTGGTATCAACATGCTGAAGAAGAAAAACGTTGCTACTGAAGTTTGTGTTCTTGGTAGTTATCCTTAATTATCCAGTGTATTATATGATAAAAAGAATTTAAAGAACACCCAGTTAGAAGAAAGTATGATCCAGTACCATCCTCCCAGATAGATGAACTAGTCGTATGAAAGAAATTGGATGTTTTGAAGGTCTTTATGTTATTACTACCCTAAGCCTATTCATAGTTTTGTGGGGGGGTACGGGTGGCCCAGTCGTCTGAGGCGCCGCAATTCGCTGTGCAGAGTTGTGTCCCTTGGGCAAGCCAGAAACCTATGATTGTGGGTTCGAATCCCGATTCGCCCTGATTATGTTTCTAGGTTTGTCAGCATCATACCCGTGCTCATGGGTTTCACCGAAGTGGTAAACGTCTGAGACCTGCATCACTTCGGGCTTTCCTCCCACATGAAGCTGACACGCCGTGATATAACTGGAATACTGTTAAAAGCAGCGTAAAACCCAACTCACTCACTCTCTCATAGTTTTGTGTTGGGTCTGCTTCAAATGACACAACATTCAAAATGTATCAAACTGATTTGTGATGGTTCATTGTGAACTCCTTGTATCATGGGCTTGCTCTCACAGAGCCCTCATTCTCAATGTAGGTCTTTGCTGAACTCTGTTTAAGGAGTGATTTGGATTGGTTGTTGATTTCAAGTATTAGTGAGAAGTATTTCAGAGTTAGTGTAAAGAGAGAAGGGGAAGACGTCAGTTCAAAACAAAGACAGGTCCCAGTTATTTATCCTAGTAGACTGTTGATAACGGATATTATACACTGGATAATCAATGATGGTGATTTAGGTGGTGTTGTCATGTTATGGAGCTACACAAGTACTTCTGAATGGTGTGTGAAAGATACCCTACCTGTGCTTTGTTGATGATGTAGTACTTTTGCCATTGATACATGTAACAGGTCACCTCAGCACAGACCTGGATGTGCTATCAATGTACCAGTGTTAACACCTCTTCTCTGAATGACGCTAGACTTGAAATTAAGCTTTTGTTAGTGACTAAGCTGTCAATTTTAAGGAAAAATGTCACTCAACTTGAAAAGTGAACATTCTCAGACTGAGATGGTTGCACGAGATCTAGCACTGGTATACACCAGTCATTTTATGAAAATGCTGGAAATAAATATGATGGATATTGTACATGGTTTTCTGTTGTTTCTTTGTACCTCTTAGGAAGAGGTTTGAGTCGTCTGACCACACTGGTACCAGTGCCATTCATTCCTGTGGGGATTCCGGGATAAAATCAGTTATTTCCAGCAACCTGTGCTTGTAACGGGAGGCAACATAATGTATCAGTCTAACCACTGATACATTATGTTCCCTTGCATTACAACATAGGTTGCTTGAAATTACTGATTTTAGAAATTGGCACTAGTCCCATAGTCCTTGCCAAACTGCCCAATAGTTAAGGTATCATAAGGACAAGTAGAAATTTGCTATTTTAAAGGGGTTTGCTATATGTTATCACTTTAAGTGAGTGAGTGACTTGAGTTTAACGCCACTTTTAACAGTATTCCAGTTATATCACGGCGTGTCAGCTTAATGCGGGAGGAAAGCCCGAAGTGATGCAGGTCTCAGACGTTTACCACTTCGGTGAAACCCACGAGCACGGGTATGGTGCTGACAAATCTAGAAACATAATTGGGGCGAACCGGGATTCGAACCCACAATCATAGGTTTCTGGCATGCCCAAGGGACGTAACTCTGCACAGCGAATCCGGTGCCTTAGACGACTGGGCCACCCGTGCCCCCTATCATTATAAGGACTAGTGGACTAAAACTGTTAGTTTCTACCACTGTTAGACTTGGTTGATTCCGTATCGTTACGTTGGTTATTGTGCCTACAGCATGGATTATTACTCACAATATGAATGACTGGTTTGTTTTGTCCAGACTACCAATCAGTTCTTGTCAACCCTGTGGAGGTTCTGTTAATACAATGATCAGGCCAGTGACTTGGTGTGCTGCGTTTCATCATACCCAGAGGCCGTGGATCTCTATATCAACCACTAGTTGGTCTGGCCTAGACTTGATAGGGCTGCCCTGATATTGCTGACTGCAGCATTAAACATTCACTCCTTTGTCAGACTACTTCAGGATTCCAGGGCTAATAGGTCCCAAACATGCATGCTTGTCCTCCAAGCTTAACTTGGTGGCTCGCAGTGAGCAGCCACATCATCTAAATGTGTTGGGATTCAGTAGAGGTGGAGAATTAGCCTTCTGTCCTTCACTCCCCGTCCCTCCTCATGTATCGGTTCTCTTGGAATAATAAACTTCATGTTTTCAACTGGTATGCAATCCATCTTCAGCTCTTCACGCAATGTTTTACAATGACCACATGAATCCATCTACTTTGAGGGTTTTATTTTTAAAATACATCTCAATGTACATTTCCATGATCAATTTTTCCATACAATTAAATATGTTACATATTTTCTTCCATAACTGAAAGTATGCACATACACTTGAACAGAGCTGATATTGTAGACTTAATGATAGGGGGAAACATTTTTCGGACAAATACTGGCAATTCCAACTTGAAAGATGTTTGTAAGCACATGGGTATAGGAACAGAGAAGAAAATTGTCACAATGAGTGCAAGGGTACATGTATATATATATACTCACAGAATCTAAGAAAAATCTTTGATTATAAGATGTCTTATCATTAACCAATTATATTGAGCAAGAGCTTCTGAAAAGAAGAGGTAAATATTTGAATAGTTCGGTTAATCACGTAAAATCAAGTAAATCCAGACAATGCATGCTATTCATTCACAAGTACTCTTATATACAGTTTCTACAGTGACTATTAACAACTTGTCAGATGCAGCCGGAACCAAGACAATGTGCTGTCATTGAGGTCGTACAACAATAATGTGTAGCACTTCAGATGATGTGCTGTCATTGAGGTCATACAACCAAAATCTGTAGCACTTCAGATGTGCTGTCATTGAGGTCGTACAACCATAATGGGAAGCACTTCAGATGAGCTGTCAATGAGGTCATACAACAATAATGTGTAGCACTTCAGATGTGCTGTCATTGAGGTCATACAACCATAACGTGTAGCACTTCAGATGATGTGCTGTCATTGAGGTCATACAACCATAACGTGTAGCACTTCAGATGATGTGCTGTCATTGAGGTCATACAACCATAATGGGAAGCACTTCAGATGATGTGCTGTCATTGAGGTCATACAACCATAATGGGAAGCACTTCAGATGATGTGCTGTCATTGAGGTCATACAACCATAATGGGAAGCACTTCAGATGTGCTGTCATTGAGGTCATACAACCATAATGGGAAGCACTTCAGATGATGTGCTGTCATTGAGGTCATACAACCATAATGGGAAGCACTTCAGATGATGTGCTGTCATTGAGGTCATACAACCATAATGGGAAGCACTTCAGATGATGTGCTGTCATTGAGGTCATACAACCATAATGTGTAGCACTTCAGATGATGTGCTGTCATTGAGGTCATACAACCATAATGGGAAGCACTTCAGATGTGCTGTCATTGAGGTCATACAACCATAATGTGTAGCACTTCAGACGATGTGCTGTCATTGAGGTCATACAACCATAATGGGAAGCACTTCAGATGATGTGCTGTCATTGAGGTCATACAACCATAATGTGTAGCACTTCAGATGATGTGCTGTCATTGAGGTCATACAACCATAATATGTAGCACTTCAGACGATGTGCTGTCATTGAGGTCATACAACCATAATGTGTAGCACTTCAGATGATGTGCTGTCATTGAGGTCATACAACCATAATGTGTAGCACTTCAGACAATGTTGTGTCACCGAGATCATACAACCAAAATAAATAGCACTTAAGACAATGTGCTGATAGCAGGTCGAACATACAGTGCCAGGTAGCTATGCAAATGTCCCAATCGACTAGAATGAAAATATTTTATTTGATCACCCCATTCTAACTAAGGTGCATAGATCTCCCAGACATTGCCTGGGGCAGGACTGGAGGTACAATCAGGGGTAAAACAAAGAACACATCAAAGAAACTCCTACCATTGTTTTTTCAATGAAGATGGTACCCTAATCTTCAACTATAAGACCTGTTTGTATTTGACCTGCATAATTGCAAAATAAGTTAGTTACCTGTCAATTTTTTGTTACCGGTAGATACTGACTTCTCTGCTTTGGAGAAATGGATTTCATAAAAGTGAAAGAAATAACCAGAATGGTATTTGGTGGTCAAATATTAAAGTATCCTAGTCTGCCAGGACCCCCAGGCTGTGTGTAGTACTCTGCAACCGGAAACTCATCATCACCAGGTACCTGTCTCCGCAACCACCTGTCCTGCACCCACCGCCGCTGTACGTGCTACTGTAGATCATTCCCATGCCCCGAGTCTCCAATGGTTATATGCATACAGACAAGTGTATAATGTATGTACAGACAACCCCCATCTCCAGCCACTATATACAGTGACGTGTGCAACTACAGTGCCTTAACAGAACTGACTGGACAAAGTCAAAACAGTCTCACAGATGTGTAACAAAACAACAACATAAACAAGACAAAACAAGCTTCAACTTTGGTATAACATAGGCAGGAATTGCTCAATAGTTTCTGTATTTGACGAAACACTTTCTCTAAAAATAAATACATTGTCAAGGTATAACACATTATTTCCACAAATGTCAGCTATTGCCATCATGTTCAGGGCTCCACTGGTCTTTGTACTGATTTAAGGAAATGCATGGCATGCTGTTTTCTCAGCACACACATTGAGGCTTCATCAATGTCTCGGTTTAAAGAAATGGATGTATTGGAATGATAAGTCTCAAGAGTTCATGAACATTTGAATTCCTGGTTAAAGATGAAAACAATAGGAAAAGGAATACAATCCTTATGTGCCAGGGATGTAAGCATCCGGGCACTTTGTCTTCAAGCAGAACTGATGTGGTTGTACCAAGTATTTACTGATCCTAACTTAGATGTCACAGTGATGACAGAAAGGGACAGAAGACAGTACAAGACAGTTCCATCTGGTGCGTCCATTTACCACAAACACATATGCTGCAAATTACAAATATATACTCTGATCACATCAACAAGCATGTGCGTCCGTGGATACATACAGCAACATCATCATGACCCTCTACACAGAGATCATTCAGGAGAAAGCCCCCTATACAGAGTACCTTCAGGAGAAAGCCCTCTTTAGTGAGTACCTTCAGGAGAAAGCTCTCTATACAGAGTACATTCAGGAGAAAGCCCTCTATACAGAGTACATTCAGGAGAAAGCCCTCTATACAGTGTACCTTCAGGAGAAAGCCCTCTATACCGAGTACCTTCAGGAGAAAGCCCTCTATACAGAGTACATTCAGGAGAAAGCCCTCTATACAGAGTACCTTCAGGTGAAAGCCTTCTATACAGAGTACCTTAAGGAGAAAGCCCTCTATACAGAGTAGCGGTACATTCAGGAGAAAGCCCTCTATACAGAGGTCCTTAAGGAGGGCTTCCCCAATATACAGTACATTCAGGAGAAAGCCTTCTATATAGAGTACCTTTAGGAGAAAGCTCTCTATATAGAGTACATTCATGAGAAAGCCAAGCTTTTCTTGGTTGGACATTATAGTGAGACAAGAAAGTGGTTTCATGTTGATGCCAAGGGGCGGTCGGGTAGCCTAGTGGTTAAAGCATCTGCTCATCACGCCGAAGACCCGGGTTCGATTCCCGACATGGGTACAATATGTGAAGCCCAATTCTGGTGTCCCCTGCCGTGATATGGCTTGAATATTGCTAAAAGCGGCGTTAAACCATACTCACTTACTCACGTTGATGCCATGAAAAGGAAATGGCATAATAAACTTAAAGACACCCCCCCACACTAGAGATTTTACAGGAGTCAAACACTGACCATGAGCTGTTTTTATTCTTACAGTTCTGAAATTGGAGGACTGTCGGTACTAAATCAGCTTGAAACCATTGCGGTGAGCAGCCTTCTCTGTATCACTGGCGGTCAGTTTGACAATAGTCTAGTTCTACAACATAGTAACCATGCCCCGTGCATTTACATCACACACAACCTTTTCATCTAACAGTGACATAGAAGAATGAACCACATGCACCGACTCGTCACCAAACATTGGTTCTACAAGTCTAGCATCAATTGTTTTGACTACCATATTGAAATAAACATTTGATTACTGTGCATACCGATGTGATGGCTAGTTTGCAATAAGCAGAGGTGAAACATGAGTTGAGAATAAATACATCTATTCAGGTAGAACACATTGGAAGCAATGTCTAACCAGTGTGGTATGACACACTTACACAAGAGGAAACAGTCCTTCCTTCATGAAGTCACAGGGTTGGGACATGAAAACTACGTTTTTGAGCCAGAGCACATCTAACTAAAAACTCTTCAGTTTCCAACAAGGGATGAGAGTCTACATCTGCTCCACACCGGACTGACAATAGCGGACATGGAAGTTCCCAATGAATGGTAATCTACACAGTTCACGATTGTCTAATGTAGAACCAGCACAGCCTACAGACAAATATTTGCTGCACCAAATTGCATGATATTAAGAATGGCAGTCTCCAATGTGTTTGCAATATATACTACAAATGATGGCTGATGTACAGCATTGTTCATAAAAATGTTGCACAGTAATATGTCGAAACAGGAGGAATAAGATAAGAATTTAATACAGAAGGCAGTCAACTTGTCTGACAAATCACATAATACTCATTAAAATAATCTGTCCATGCATGTGTTTCATTAATATTATTTCACAATATCTGATTATATTTCAAAGAAATTTCATTTTCTTCTTCGTAATTACTAATAAATATGGCATGCACCAGAATGCTTTTCTATCAAACAATTTCATCAGTTTGCATCACTGATCAACACATGATCCTAGTTTTGTCCTAACCATCACACAGGACTGAACAGGACATCATTCCGACGCAATGTTACATCTTCAGATTCTTCATGTTTCCATAACGATATCATGACGATCACTGATGCCTCTGAATATTTGAGCTCAAGCCAAATTTACAAATGAAAAGCTCTCATAGTTTCCAAACACTGCCTGTATCCCTGTAATCACAGTAGAATTAGCTGAATCTTGAACATACGGAATCATCCACCTTGGTCACATACACAGTCACGTTCCCCAGGTGGGCATGTCCCTGCCCGGGGGGTGACACATCACACATTGTGGTCCATAATAAGCAGAGAAATACCATAGAATGAAATATGTATTTGTAGTATTCATCACAATGTCTGGAATCACAATAAATTATGTGCTGACTCAGTGTTAAGACTCCTCCGTCAACAAAGATTTGATATCGTCCAACAATCCTGACAACAACTTGCTCTCCGAACTCTTCCCATCCACATTCAGACTACCATTTACCTGCAATAGGAAATAATGTCATCAGCACAAACATTAAATATGCACAAATAATGATTGATTCAAACAAAATCAGCATGTTGTAAAATCTGTACATCTCGCTCACATACTGACATATATCAACACGGGCGAATAAACGTTAGAAACTTCAACAGTGTTGATAGATTTTACAAAGACAGTGAGATTCTATTTGGTTGGTTGGTTGGTTTGTTGTTTAACGCCACACTCAGCAATATTCCACCTATATGACGTTGATCTGTAAATAATCGAGTCTGGACCAGACAATCCAGTGATTGATATCATGAGCATCGATCCACGCAATTGGGATCGATGACATGCATCAACCAAGTCAGCGAGCCTGACCACCCGATCCCGTTAGTCGCCTTTTACGACAAGCATTCGGGTCACGGGTCGAGATTCTATTTATCACCCCAAATCACTCCAACTTTTTATTTGGGAAACAGTAATTACCAGTGTCTTGATAGTACGGATAACCAGCCTCAGTGGCAGAGAGGAGCGATATTATTTCACTGTGAAATGACGGTAACCAATGACATCACAATGGTCTGCAAAGTATTGTGATGCAATTTCATTGAAGCGAATATCTCCCAGGAGACATTGCTTGATCTCATCCAAGCAACATCTCCTGTGGAAGCCAGTTTGGGATGATAAATTGGATTCTAACAAACTTTAACATTCATAGAAAACTGATACAGACATGATAGAGAGAGAAAAATATGTTAAGTAGTTGTTCAGAAATACTCACCATTTTGACCAGTAAGCAGATTGGGTGACCTTGAATAGACTTGCTGAATAATGAAGCACTTTTATCTACTTGTTCTATTACTGAAATTGAATATGACAGATGAATTAGTCTATTGATGAAGCAGTTCTGGCAATTCAGTCCAGATGAAATACATGAAACTATTGACAAAGCCCAATAACACAGCAAATATATATGTGTCTTCCCAAATAATTATTTCATGATGGATGAAACAGATGAAACTATGCAGAAAAACAAAGTAAATATATGTGTCCTTCCAAATCGTTATTTCATCAAACACAAATGCTCAACAATATTATTGTAACAAAAAAACAGGCATGTCCACCAGGAACCAATGACCTCTGTTACTATAGTCTGGAAGGTAATTTAAGGTATCGACGTTTACTACAATATCTGAAAAACTATCGGACCTACTCCAGTCACAGTTGGTATGAGATTATAACAGTCACGCACGAATACGGTGTTAGCGTTGGGCGTCTCAACGTGCGTGATTCCCGTGTACCCTTTCGAGTTGAGTTGATTGGTTCAACTGTGTCATATGGCCCTGTGACGCAGGGGTAGCATTATGCAGATGGCTGTTTCAATGAATGCTCGTTCCACCCGTGACGAACAGGTCTGGTTGTTGATGAAATATAGTGATAGCTAAATAGACAGATTTTTTATTCCTGCACCGATTGTCTTTAAATGTAATATCCAGTTATGTATGACTGTTTAATAATCTCATACCAACTTTGACTGGAGTAGGTCCGATAGTTTTTCAGATATTGTAGTAAACGTCGGTACCTTAAATTACCTTCCAGACTATACCTTCTCTCTGACTTACATCTGAAATGCAGGTAAAAGCACATTTTGGCGAGGACATGAGGGAACTCGGTGTCTACTGGGGTCAGCTTACAGGAGCCCTTCTCCGGCAGGTCTCCACTGGCTAGTAACTCGGCAAATTCATCACTGAAACACAAGGAAGTGAGTTGGTCTAAACGCCACTTTTTCAGTAACATACATGTCAACTTCATGAGCGGGGAAAGCTTCAATTGACGGTGGTCAAAGATGTCAAACCCCCCATGACGATCTGGGTTAGAATTGGCCTTCAGCAACCCATGCTTGTGGCTGGAGGCGACTAATGGGATCGTCTGTTAAGGCTCACTGACTTGGTTGCTGTGTGTCATTGCTTAGATCAATGCTCATGACGTCAATCATTGGTTTGTCTGTACCATGCATGAATATTTACAGAGGTCTGTCATATTGCTGGAATAATGCTGAGTGCAGCGTTAAACAACAAACAAATAAACAAGACAGATGTGTACCACACTAGTAAACCAGAAACATACTGCAGAGCTCCAGATAAGCTTTTGGTGTTGTGGGTATTTTACCCATGCATTTTAAAATCATTGGGTATCAGTAATTCTATCTGGGTATTCAAATTTCTGTTACCCACTAGTTTTTACACATGTGGGTATTTAAGTTAAATATTTAAAAACACTATTCATCTAATCCCTGCAAACTGGTGTCGTGTGGGTTCGAGATATTTATAGGACTCAAAAATACCACGATACTTCCACAAGAAAGTGTGATGGCAAATGATCATGATGTAACTGTCATCGTAGAGTTTGGCAAGGTTGACGGAATGCCCGTTTATAATTTCAAAACAAGTTGCTCATTTGCTTATCGAATACGCAGGGTTACTTCACAATATTTTGATGATACGCACAAGTTTTATTTTTGTTGGAACAGTTATGGTTGAGTATCTACATCTACATATTCTTGTTGAAGTGGGATCATCTTTCTACAAATCTACACTCAGCAATATGAAGGTAACCTGTAAATAATTGAGTCTGGACAAGATAATCCAGTGATCGATACTGTGAGCAACGATCCACACCAGTGTACAAGGACACACTTTCAACCAAGGCACCGAGCCTGACCACTGGATCCATTTTGTCGCCTCTTATGACCAGCAATGGTAGCTGGGGACCAATTCTAACCCAGAATCCCCACGGGGATTGTGAGGTGAGGTGAAATGGGGTTTAACATCACGTCCAATATTATTGCACTTATATAGCGACGTGCATGCACGTGTATGTATGTGTGTGGCTGCTTGTACTAGTACAGACTGATGTGCTAGCTCACTGAGATACCATGCCGCAGTTTAACATGAATACCCCACTCAGACACAGTATACGGACCCCAGACCCGACCAGTCCTTGTTTTAGCCCCTTAATGTCGAGCGCCAGACAGGGTAACAACAAGTACATCTTTTAACATCTTTTGGTATGGAGCGGTCGGGGATCGAACCCCGGACCTTCCGCTCTCCGGGCAGACGCTCTACCATTAGACCACGGAGGCGGTCCCACGGGGATTGTGATTAGTGATGGAGACGTAACTGAAGGATGTCTGTACCTACCTCTTGCATGGTGTTGTGACAAGGTAAGAGCTACATGGAAGCTGAAGCTTAAAGTCTAGTTTTTCATGTGTTGAACCATCATCCGACTGAAACAAACACAGGCACTCTGTCAGGGGAGATAACTCAAGGCAGACTGTCAGAAGCAAGTACATGTACCTTTCCGTATCAATGTTTAACAAGAATTCTTCATTGATCATAATTTCCCATCTTTGTAATTCAACTGACTGAAAGTTCTTCATTGGCTTACTTGGTTTGCACAATCAAACAAAAGGCAAGCCCAAAATAGTAGAAATGTCTTCTTCTAAGGCACCATTGTCTCGGTAATATTCCTGCGGGGGTGAAATGATACAGCAAGATCCATTACATGGGTCACGATACAATACATATCACGATACTCATGTTTACCTCAAATCGGATGGAAACATCTTGACTGAAATATTTCAGAGCAGGTTCAAAAGGAAAAGCTTTCTGTAGACATGTTTGTAGCGGCTATTTAAGTAGTATACTTGAAACGCTACTTACAACACTTTTTGCGATATTTGACAGACAAAAAATGCTTGGGGTCATTGAACGAGTGGTAAGTAATTTATTTCAGCAAGTGTATCATCTCAAAAAACGCATCGTGTATCATAACGTCACAAGAAAACTGACGATGCACCGATGTATCGTTTCACCCCTACTACATAACATCGTAACCACAACACACATACAACTCATTTTCAAACTGACAAAATGAATGCCTGGGAAGAAATGGTTCTGAGACAATGGCTTTTGAAAATATAGTGCGGGCAGGTGGTGTGTTTTGGTTTTTTTTCTAAGTTGTTCAAACTAGTATGTATTCCTTGATGATTAAAATACTGGAATACAGTAATTGACCAAAGTTGGACTTGGAAAATATAAGGATTTTATTGGGGTTTTTAAAACAGAACTACAAATGAAACGTGCGGCAAACTTTATGATGATGCGGCCGGTACCTGTGAACCAAGACTATTGTTTTTTTTAGCCTTATTAGGTTCACGATAACCTTCATATTACCTTGATAATGTACGTGAGTGTTCCCCTCATCCTCTGAGACATAGAAATACTTTCAATGCTGAAGGCAAACTGTCCCTCGTTCTGGGACTCAGGCAGCAAGATGAAGGGAACCCTGACAGCATCATGGTGGGATTTGCCCATCTGGAATCAAAGAAGAGTTTGCAAATAAAGACAAATTGCAAGGTTTTCGCTGGTGGAAGCCTCGGGCTTCACACATTGTTCCCATGTCAGGAATCGAACCTGGCTCTTCGGTGTGACGAGCGAAGGCTTTAACCACTAGGCTACCCAACCGCCTCGTATTATACTAAGAAAGTGTTATCACTAATATAACATTTGTTATAATAAAGTGAATAGGTCTGAAAAAAAAATCGAGTCTGGGCCAGACAATCCAGTGATTGACATCATGAGCATCGATCCACGCAATTGGAATACAATGACATCATGAGCATTGATCCACGCAATTCGAATACGATGACATCATGAGCATTGATCCACGCAATTCAAATACGATGACATGCATGAACCAAGTCAGTGAGCCTCACCACCCGATCCCCTTCGCCTCTTACGACAAGCATAGTCCCTTTTATGGCAAGAGCGGATTGCTGAAGGCCTATTCTACCCCAGATTCAAAACTCCTAAAAGATGCTCAAGAGAAAACCTAGAGATAGTAAACAGGGATGAAGTTTGAGTACATACCCCTCTGATCAGCTTGGTGTTGAGTGTGTCCAGGACATTGAATTCCAGGTCCTTCAAGTGGTTCTTGGTCTGATTATTGAAGACTACCGAGATGATGATCTGGTCACTACGCTGTGGTGATACTCGTGTCTCATATGTCTGTGAAGAGATATTCACATCAGTGAGTGAGTGAGTATGTTTTTACGCCCCCTTTAGCAATATTCCAGCAATATCACTGCAGTCGACACCAGAAATGGGCTTAACACATTGTACCCATGTCTGGAATCGAACCCGGGTCTTCGGCATGATGAGCGAACACTTTAGCTACAAGGCTACCCAACCTCCCCATTCACATCAGTAACTTGGGTATATTACAGCGGTAGAAAGTAACAGTTTCAGTCCACTAGTCCACATAATGATAACATATAGCAAAACTCCTAAAAAGGGCAAATTTCTACTGGTCCTTATGATACCTTTACTATTGGGCAGTTTGGTGAGGACTAAAGGACTAATGCCAATTTCTAACACTGTTTAATGGCACGTTGAACAGTATTTGTCATGTCAGTGTGAGGGACTGAGTGAGTGAGTTGGGTTTAATGCCGCTTTTAACATTATTCCAGTTATATCACGGCGTGTCAGCTTAATATGGGAGGAAAGCCCGAAGTGATGCAAGTCTCAAAAGTTTACCACTTCAGTGAAACCCAAGAGCATGGGTATGGTGCTGACAAACCTAGAAACATAATCCGGGCGAACTGGGATTCTAACCCATATTCATAGGTTTCTGGTGTGCCAGAGGGACGCAACTCTGCACAGCGAAATGCGGCGCCTCAGATGACTGGGCCACCAGTGCCCCTGTCATGTCAGCATGATGTGTAAGAAAAGCCTGAAGTGATTAAGGCCTTAGGTGTTTACCACTTTGGTGAAATCCTTGAAACACTTGTATGGTGCTGACAAACATCAAAAAACAATTCGGGCAAACCAGGATTCGAACCCATGATCATCAGCTTCTGGTGTTCCCAAGGGATGCAACTCTGCACAGCTAATTGCCATGCCTTAGACAACTGGGCCACAGACTTTCTCTGATGAACATGTCATGACATCATTTCATATTGGCCCTAATGTACAAGCTATCATTGCTTCACCAATACCTACACAGTATTATCATAATGATAGAAGAATTACTTACCATCCTCAAAGTGGCATTTTCAGCAAGGAGTTTATAACTGGACATTGGCTACAAAAAGAGAGAAGAAGTCAGTATTAGCATAGTAAGCTGTTATTACATCAACTATAGGGGTAGAAACTAACATATTTAGTCCACTAGTCCTTATAATGATAACATATAGCAAACCCCTTAAAAATGGCAAAATATTTCTACTAGACCTTATGACACCTTAACTGTTGGCCAGTTTGGCAAGAACGACAGGACTAGTGCCAATTTCTTACGCTGAACTAATCAATCAATGTGTACTCCAGTACAAGGTACAAAATTAACTCACTACAGTCACATCTTAATGAGAGATACTGAAGATAAATGACTATAACCATGTATTGGCCACTAGTCGATGCAGAGAGAGTGGTCAGCACATACCGGCAGCTGTATCTCCATGGGGGTGCCTTGCTGGGACATGGAGATGTTCTCCTTCGACGGGGTGGTGATCCCCTCAGCCTCCTCGTACTCATGCCGCCGCAGCTTGTCTTTCTTCTTCTTGTCTTTCTTCTCTTTCTTCTCCTTCTTACTCCCTCGTTTCTCTTTCTTCTTCTTTGGCTTCTGGAAATATTTAAATAGGTCTCAAAATTTGTTTTGGGATAAAGCACAGTTCTTTCCTAAGCAATGGCCATCAACTGAAATAACTTGAGAAAGTTATTTTTAAGGGCTACAAATGCTGTAATTTGAGGCGGAAAACATTTGGCACAGTTGCCATGGAAAGTAATTACTCTTTGTGGAGTCTAATGGAGTAGTAATCTACATGTCGATAGTCTGCCCTAAAAGCAAGAAAACAACGCCCATCATTATTATGAAGAGTCAAGCTTGAACTCCCATCAGTCCATGCAACAGATCACAATCACACCTTGCCACTGCAACTTCTGTCCTACCGTATATGTTTGAGGGAGTGAGTTGTGTTCATGATGCTAGGACACTATTTCAGTTATATCACAGCATGTCACATTCATGTTGGAGGAAAGTCTGAAGTGGTGCATGACCTCATTTATTACCAGTTTGGTGAAACCCAAAAGCACGGGGAGAATCTGGGCTCTGAGCTGAGATCAACTCTGTATACCAAGCCCTGCACCCAGAAAACTAAGCAACATGTCCCATCTTCCTAAAGCAAGGGAATTAACCGACTATAAAAGTCCAGTTTCCACCCTTGCCAAACTAGGCTGGTATTATGGAGTTGCATTTTTCCTGGACTAACGAGTCTATGCATAGTCCAATCAAAATAGCGCAACAAAATCAAAATCTGGTTCGTAGACTGTAAAGCAGATCTCGGTCGATTTCAGGATTTGCAAAGCATGTGCACCGCCAACTCGTTGTCAATAGATATTTTCCAAATCTCTTCATGGTTTTTAATGAAGCTGCTCATGTGATTTGATGCACACGATGTAAGACCCGTTTTCTCACAATATTGATCTTGATTATCGGTCAGATCGTCTTGACCGGGCGCCACCATTTTGTTTGAAGCCAATGCAACTGATACGAGAAGTGGAATCTGATTGGTCGATAGGAGGGACATAGAAGGGACATAACTTGTAATAGCCACTGGTGGCGCTACGATAGAGCCCAGGAATTCCAGCCTTGTTCGGGAAGGGTGGAAACTGGACATTTAAAGTCAGTTAACTCTCTTGCCTCAGGAAGATGCCAATGTGCCTGTGAGAGCTGCCTGTATCACACATTCACACTGCATCACCATGATAGGATCTCCTCTACTTTCAAACATTCAATAAAGGGAAGAAATAACCAAACATAAAAAAAAACATGTTTCAAATGTGTATCTCCTCCCACTGCAGGCTGGACTACCCACCTCCTCGTTCACTTTAGCACTATCTTCTTCCTCGGATGACAGGACATCATTGACCGTGAGTTTGGGCGACTTGGTTCGACCTACATTGTTCACCACTGGCCTTGAATCTTTAACTGGGGAGGGGGTTGTGGCAGCATCACTCCCTGACAGCCAGAACTCTATGTCGTTGGTCTGTCATGAACAAAGTTGCTTTCATTATCAAAGTCACTCGTTAACTAAAAATATTATACAGAATATAAAAACAGAAATTCCAAACAGATCCTAGACAATCATGACCAATGCACTGGTTTATTTTACGAGTATGTAAAAGAAAATGTTCGGTTGGATACAACAGCTCAATCTGAAGCAGGCATGAACTAGTGCTGGCAGACATCTCTTAAGCATGAAAATATTGCAACCTGTTTCAGACATTTTCCTGTTTCTTTTGTCTAGTCATAAAAACAGATTAACAATAAGTGGGCCAGTCCTAATTACCATCCCTGAGAATGCTTGTTTGTTTGTTGTTAAACGCCGCACTCAGCAATATTCCAGCTATATGACGGCTGTCTGTAAATAATCAAGTCTGGACCAGACAATCCAGTGATTGACATCATGAGCATCAATCAATGCAATGGGGATACGATGACATGCATCAACCAGGACAGCGAGCCTGACCACCTGATCCCGTTTGTCGCTTCTTACAACAAGCATAGTCGCCCTGAGAATGCTGTCACGTTGGGTTGGTTTGGATGCCGGAGATCAAAGACATTCTAAGTGGTGAGGACAAGAAGTGCCATGTTTCAGTCCCTGCAAGACGCTGACCTTATCTGACTGTTCTTCAGGGGGACTCATGCTGGTGGCTGTATTGTCCACGTTGTTGACGATGTTGGCTTCTGATGCCGTCTCCTCCTCAGCTGCCGTTAGAAGCAAAGTTGGGCCATCCTTGTCCTTATGCTCTGACTTTGATTTCTTCTTGTCTCTCTTCTCTTTCTTCTCCTTCTTTAACACAGATAAAACATTGAAAAGGAAGGCTCTATTGCTATTTACATCTTACAAAAACCTTAAACACACTTTATTGACATGACATGACACATCATACTCCACTGTTACAAGAACCTGAGTTGAAATTTGAGTGCCAATGACAGCTAAATTAATACACGTGGGTCAATGGATGGATAACTCCTTTATTTTACAGTGTGGTCGACTATGGCATGAGGATCTAAACCAAAACATCCCCTTAATAAAGAACACACTATGAGGCCCTGTAAACTACATTTCTATCCATGATAAGCACATGTCGATGCTTACTGTACACTCACTGCTTAGATAGATCTACCAGTCAGTAAGAATGTAAGCAATGTGGCTTTAATAGAGATCAGGGCATACTGTCACAGTAAATGTAAGATATTTGACACATCTTGACGTAACTATCTTACCTTTTCTTTCTTGTCTTTCTTCTTTTCTTTCTCCTTCCTGTGTTTTCTCTTGGTCTTCTCCGTGTCTCCGTCCAGCTCCTTGTCCGGCGACGCCTCCAGCACCAGTCTGTGTTGCCTCACTGGCAGCTTCTCGTCATCCCGCAGCGGTCTACAACACACAGACAAGCATGGAATCAGGGGTGTCAATACTTTCTTGAACACTTCAAAATATTTCCCATCATAAGAGGTGAGGTAAAATGGGGTTTAACGTCGCGTCCAAGATTATTGCACTTATATAGCGACGTGCATGTACGTGTGTGTGTGGCTGATTGTACTAGTCCGGACTGATGCCGATTTATAGTGCTAGCCCACTGTGATACCATGCCGCAGTTTAACATGAATACCCCACTCAGACTAAGTATACTGACTCCGAGCCGACCAGTCCTTGTTTTAGCCCCTTAATGCCGAGCGCCAGACAGGGTAACAAGAAGTACCATCTTTTAACGTCTTTTGGTATGACGCTGCTGGGGATTGAACCCCGGACCTTCCACTCTCCGGGCGGACGCTCTACCATTAGACCACGGAGGCGGTCTACCATCATATGAACTTTGGTCAGTCTATATTACAGCATCACAAAATAATTATCGTCGTCCAAGTACAAAGCTTAGCTACTACATGTATATTCTTCATGAACATAATTTGAAAGTCAGAGTCTGTGTGAAATACATGCTTCTAGCGTTTACATTTACCACAAGTACTTTAATCATTACTCTAATAAAACTCACTCATCCAGATTAACATCCAACTTCTTGAAAGGATCTGATGAAAATTCATCAACATTTTCATTGTCCGAGAGGTGAGCACCCTGAAACAGACACAAGAACCTTACAGAACGACAACTTATCGGATTTAAAACAAAATGAACTATAACAACTTCAAAACAAATGTTAGTGCAGGTTAAACATCTTTAACAGCTTCATCTGCATCTTCTACCATCTCAAGATTATCAAATCGTTCTGAATGAGTCAATACCTCGGGCATTTCCTCTACAGTGCTGACAGCATGCATTGCAGGGAGGTCCTCCTCCGAATCCGATTCTTTTCCCTTCCTCCTCTTCTTCTTCTTGCCTTTCTTCCCTTTTCTGGACTTGTCCCGCGTGTCTACATTTGAATACATATTTAAATATTTATCTGAGGCAGACAGACCTGCAGAGAGAAAAAAGCCCAGAGATACAGCAGTTGCCGCTATCCCAGTAAGACATATCATGCACTACAGCAGAGGACTTTGTGGACGCTAGTTTCAATTACTGTTACACGTAATCAATTTACATTTCAAGTCCAGCTGTCCAATTTAAACATTTTGTGAATTTTTCAAATCAATTAATATTAATTTATTCAAATGTCACTTCTGGCAAAGCTTTCTTTAAGGCTTGTCTTCATCATGATTTACACAGACAAGTCTCAATCAGTTAAATGACAGCCCAAAAATCATCAAAAGATGATGTACCTTATAGAAATATTTCCAATATCAAATAGGTCAATATGTCTCATATCTAATGTGGCAACATAATACCATCTGCAGGCAAATTCTCTCTGTATTTACAAACATGCATAGTTAATAGTAAATGATGAAACCAAATCACCAGAGAGTCAGTTATACATAGTCAGGGCATGCAGGTAGAAAAGTGTACATACCTGGCACATGGAGTGGCACAGACAAGTCTAATGTGGCAACTGGGATGTCATCAATGTGGCTGGTATCATACTTCTTGCTCTGGAGGAAAAAAACAACACACAAATAGCTTCCTTTATCAATATCTTTGTTTGCTTTGATGGACAAAGTCTCAATTGGGCATTTGAGTGAGTATGGTTTCAGCCTCTTTTAGCAATATTCCAGCTATATCACGGCCGGGGACACCGGAAAATGGGCTTCACACATTGTACCCGGTCGAACCGGTCTTCGGCATGGCGAGCCAACGCTTTAACCACTAGGCTACCCCACCACCCCCAAATGGGCTTGTTATTATGATTACAGGACAGACATTGATTATGAAGAATACATAAGCATGTACCGTATTCGACCCAATAAGCGCCCAGGGCGCTTAAAATAAAGACAGAAGGGGTGGGTGCTTATTGGGACCAATTCAGAGTCAAATTGGCGTAAATTCATCAGTAAGCCTTAAGTCACAAATATCTAAAATAAACAGAATACAGTCATGCCCCGCTTATACAGACTTCAAATATCCGGAAACCTCGGTTCCCGGACGATTTTCATTTAAAACGAAATAATTACTATATAAATTTCCGGAACCGGGGGGCTAGTGCTTATTGGGACATGGGTGCTTATTGGGTCGAATACGGTAACAGTTATTGTTATTACTCCTGTCATTTATTATTATTTAGTTCAACATCATCATGACAAGGTTATCTCATATTCCCGTGTTTCTGGATCAATCCTGAACCATTTGTCTGCCCTCCTACTTCAGCCTGATCTACTTCTGTTCATCAATGTATTTTATAACCAACCTTCTTTTTGATATCTCCTTTCAGGTAGTGGGGATTGTGTTCCATCTCGACCTTCCTGGCCTCCCGCCTCTGTAACACATGCACCTATGAGATTACTCCATCACAAAACTAATGAATTTTGTTTGTTTGTTTGTTGTTTAACGCCACACTCAGCAATATTCCACCTATATGACAGCAGTCTGTAAATAATCAAGTCTGGACCAGACAATCCAGTGACTTACATCATGAGCATCGATCTACGCAATTAGGATACGATGACATGCATCAACCAAGTCTGACCACCCAATCCCTTTAGTCGCCTCTTACGACAAGCAATATCCAAGTAATGTCAGCAAGCTAAATATTTGTAGATAGTGTAACTTAAAATATATTGTGTCGGTATTTGATACCCTCTGTTCTGAGTTGTTTGTCTACGTAGACTTAAAACACTATCTGAACAATATATCCACATAAACATGAAAAAAATAAAATCTAAACAGAAATATAGATTCAATATTGTGTATGTGTACAAATATTAGTCCTTCTTAATCTTCCAATTGCAAGTAATGTTTAAGGTTCAAACAACTGTATTTGAATGCATAAGAAGTTTCTTGTTTATTTATTGTTAAATGCTGCTCTCAGCAATATTCCAGCTATACAGCCATATGATGGCGGTCTGTAAATAATCAAGTCTGGACCAGACAATCCATAGGTTGGCACCATGAGAATCGATCTAAGCACATGGGATATGATCTTGAACATCCGAACCCGTTAATAGCCTCTTACAACATGGTGGGTTGCTAGGGACAGGCTCCTGAATGTTTAATAAGTTATGATAACACCTCACCTTCTCTAACTCTTCTGCTGTGGGCTCATAGGTTTTCCTTTCACTTTCATACTGGTAGGTATCCCTGAAAGTAACACACCATGGATAATGAGGACAGCTAGCAATGACTCAATGCAGTTTTACCCTGTGTTTCACCTATATAATTTATGCAGGTTTTACTCTGTGTTTCACCCTTATGAAGTATTGTGGTTCTACCCTGTGTTTCACCTTCATCTCGATTTATGCAGGTTTTACCCTGTGTTTCACCTATATAATTTATGCAGGTTTTACTCTGTGTTTCACCCTTATGAAGTATTGTGGTTCTACCCTGTGTTTCAACAACAACATGATTTATGCAGGTTCTACCCCGTGTTTCACCTACAACGTGATTTATGTGGGTTCTACCCTGTGTTTCACTTTCATCTCGATTTATGCAGGTTCTACCCCGTGTTTCACCTACAACTTGATTTATGTGGGTTCTACCCTGTGTTTCACTTTCATCTCGATTTATGCAGGTTCTACCCCGTGTTTCACCTACAAAGTGATTTATGCAGGTTCTACCCCGTGTTTCAACTACAACATGATTTATGCAGGTTCTACCCTGTGTTTCAACTACAACATGATTTATGCAGGTTCTACCCCCTGTTTCACCTACGTGATTTATGTGGGTTCTACCCTGTGTTTCACTTTCATCCTGATTTCTGCAGGTTCTACCCCGTGTTTCACCTACAACTTGATTTATGTGGGTTCTACCCTGTGTTTCACTTTCATCTTGATTTATGAAGGTTCTACCCTGTGTTTCACCTACAACTTGATTTATATGGATTCTACCCTGTGTTTCAACTACAACATGATTTATGCAGGTTCTACCCTGTGTTTCACTTTCATCTCGATTTATGCAGGTTCTACCCCGTGTTTCAACTACAACGTGATTTATGAGGGTTCTCTCCTGTATACATCCAGCACTCACCTGTGTTCTGAACCTGAAGTGAAGAAGGCTGGGCCTCCAATTTCCTCATCTGAACTTTCAGGAGGCGGATGATTTATCCACTTGTCTAGATCCAATCTAAAAGGTAAAATTGCATCAATATTACTTGCTACCAAACATCAGAGACCTGCATCACTTTGGGCTTGCCTCACGCATTAAGCTGACATGCTGTGGCTTAACTGGAATACTGTTAAAAGCAGCACTAAACCCAACTCACTCACTCTCCATAAGCTGATAAGTATGAAAATAGATGTTTATTTGTACAATAGCTATACCATTCACTTCTATTTTGAGTGCAGTGATCTGCTTGTTTGTTCGTTGTGTAACACCACACTCAGCAATATTCCACCTTTATGACGACGGCGGTCTGTAAGTAATCGAGTCTGGACTAGACAATCCAGTGATTGATATCATGAGCATCAATTTATGCAATTGGGATACAATGACATGCATCAACCATGTCAGCCTGCCTGACCACCTGATCCTGTTAGTCGCCTCTTACCACAAGCATAGTCACCTGTTACGGCAAGCATGGTCCTAAAGATCAAATCTCTACCTGGATCTTCACGGGTCTTGAGTGTAGTTAACTGTACGTACAAATGATATCACACAAGTGCAAAGATACCATGAACCTGGGGGGAGGCTTCTGATAAACAGATACCCAAGCAATGTAACCACCTCCAACTTACCCCTCTGGCACTGGCACTTTTCTCTGAGCCTTAGGAGCGACGGGGTTGAGCTCGCCTGCATATAACAGCTCTATGTCATCTCCAATTTTAGCACCTTTGTCTAATAGCTTGCCGACATACTTCACCAGTTGTAAGATACAGCAAGCCTGCAAGAAGACATACACTCAACAGTTAACAGCACATCTAGGGGTTCATCATATTCATATACCATGTTCATATATTGTGTTCATATACTTTGTTCATATGTCGTGTTCATATATTGTGTTCATACACCGTGTTCATATACCGTGTTCATATATCGTACTCATATCGTGCTCATTATATTGTGTTCATTATCATGGTTATTATCAGCCTTTGATTTTCATGCTGGTTCTCTTGCCCGAGGCTGCTAAATTGTGCTGAGGACAAGTAAAAATCTCATGATGGTACTCCTTTAAATAAATGACTAGCAACCTTTGATGGATGTAACACTTCACCAGTTCTCAACGCTGGAGTAGCTACAAATTCGGTGGACAAGTGGCAAGTTTTACACAAGGCCCCTGGAAAAAAACGATATTCAAAGGCTGCATAGTACTCACTCTCTCCTGCACCTCCAGGTCAGCGCTGGAGACGAAGATGGGCAGCTTCTCGGACATGAGCTGGTTGACCTCCCGGAGCAGGTCCTCCTCCCCGTCCTCCTCCGCCTGCCGCACCACCTTCCCGTACAGCTTTAGGATGTTCTGCACATACACACTCTGTATGTGGCCCGGCAGGATAGTGATCTTGGGACGAAGCATGGCCTCCAGCGTGGACTTAGGGTCCTTCAGACATCTTAACAAGAACGCAGTGTACATGATAACTTGTGTTTGTGATGGAGAGTGAGGACAAATGTTGGCATTAGCCCCAACAAATATTCTGAAATTTATCCGAGAAATATTTTCATTTCATAAAATGAGCAAGTAATTGTTTATTCCTTTTCACCACTGTCAGCAAAATTACAACTATTTCATGGCTACCGGCAAATATCTGAGTCTGATCCAAACAAACAAGCGGGTGATGGCATGAGTAGTGATTCTTCCGATCGCAGTATCATTACTTCCGAACATTGACATGGTAAAAGATTTTGGTACTACTTCCACTGATATCACATATTTTCGGAAACATCCTACTCACTCTGAAAATTCTCCACATATCCATGCTGCTGCATACAGGACCTCACAGATGCCGTTACGCTGAGAGTTATTGGCCAGCACGTGGGAGTTCTCCAGCAGGATCGCCTGGAGGGAAAGACATAAAGTGTCACAGACGGAGAATACACATAACCTTCAAGTTATATCAAGTCAGTCATTTCCAGCGACAGACTACCACTGAAAGCATTTACATTCACCTGCCCGTGAGTCTTAACTTTCACATTTTTACTGAGCTGTTGACAATTTTTTTTTTTTAAAAACAGTGAGACCTTCAAGGTTTCTTACCATCTGATCCACAGCAAACTGCCTGATGGCCTGCACTCTGATGGCCACATCCAGCATCTGACTAGCGATCATCTTGCCGTGTCGGGTACCCTCCATCCGTGTTAGCTCCACCAAGATACTCACATACCTATAAGACATTTTCATACATTGATAAATTTCTCACTCTGAATTGAGTGTAATCATTGCTAAATGCCGCATCAGCAATCTTGCAGCTATTCACGCCTTGGTATTAACCCCGTTTCGCTTTCATCAGAGCATCAAGCATGACAGTGGATGTTAACACACAAAGGTTAAATCTTTGAACACTGGTACGGTGGCGACACACCAAGTGTCATAACAGGGCAAACTCAGCAATCCTTGATACCTCAGCTGAATGGCAGTCTCAGTGAGTCAGGGATGAGAATGGATATTTTCGTTTAGGGGGGGGGGAAGCCATCAGATTTTAACAAATTTGTGGTCACTAAAATTTATGGAAATCTGCGGATCCGCAAAGATTCTCACCCCTGGTGACAGAGGACAGTTTCAAATCTTCAGAAATGTACAGCAGCCATATTGTTTCAGAAGACGCCCATGACAAACTTATCAACAATACTATCATGACTATATTAGCCATGGACAGACTGGCTTTTACAGATTTTTGGAAGGAGAAAGTTCTACTTACCACTCAAAGTTGGTGACAAACTGGTAGTTGGACTGGCTGCTGATGAGGATGATCTTAGACAGGAGTTCATCCCGATAGTGTGACCCCTCCGCCTTGTCCATGTGGATCATCAGCTTCTTCACGATCTCCATCAAGTTCTTTTTCGACACCTGAATAGGTAACATATTTGTCAGCAACTTGCCAAAGCTTCACATAATGTAAGCAGAACAAATATAAACAGAAAATATTTGAACACATTTACAAAATGACACCTCTATTCTATACAGGAAATCATAGTCTGGAAAAATTGTAGAATTAAGTTTCTGTTTCAGTTTGATGTTTATTGTTTAACATGACACTCAGCAATATTCCAGCTTTATGATGGCGATCAGTAAATAAGCAAGTATGGACCAGAAAATCCACTGAATGAAGTTATGAGCATCGATCTACATAATTGGGATATAATGACATTCACCAATCAAGTCAGCGAGTCTGACCACCTGATCCTGTTAGTGGCCTCTTATAACCAGCATGTGTTGTCCCATTGTTATCAAGTCTTAGTAGACATTTCAATATAGTGGTTATCACAGTATGGAGTTTCAGTGTCTCACCATGCCGTAGAGGAGGTCCAGTGCCCGCAGCCGTATTGACTCATCCTTGTCATCCAGACACTGCAAGATGAGGTCCTTGTGCATCTGAACACTCTTGGGGTGTGTGGCCAAGATCCGGGACATCGCAAGCAGGCCAAGGTACTTCACTGTCACAAACAACACATCCGTCATACACATTGCCTGCTACAGCACACACATAAGTGATTTACCCAGGATTCCAAACTATGTGGCCTTGTCGGGACATTTGGGGAAATTGTCATTTTACTCATATAGGTCATTGAAGTACAAGTCACTTCTACAAAACAATAACATGAATTAGTTATTACCATATAACATTAAATGGGATATGTTTCTAATATGGAGACATTTCCTGAGCTTTGCTGAAGACCTGGGGTCGATTATCGTCCTCTGAGCAGGCCTTGACAACCCCCTGCACATTACTTATCTGAATGGTTTGTTTTTTTGTTGTTTAACATCCCACTCAGCAATATTTCAGCTATATGACAGCTATCTGTAAGTAATCAAGTCCGGACCAGACAATCCAGTGATTGACATCATGAGCATCGATCCAAGCATAGTCGCCTTTTATGGCAAGCACGGTTTGCCGAAGACCTAGTCTACCCCGGATTTTTTAACAGTGTCAAGGACTGACTTATTCTTTATGGTGAGTTTATTACATTGGCTTATTCCATATCTCAAACACCATGACATACCAGTCTCCAAATAATATTACCTTCACCATACCTTACTACCAAATTTAAGACACAAATATTTCAACATTGACACGCAATTTCAACATTTCATTCATCACGCTCACAATTTAGTATTTTTCAATCAAATTCTTTGGGCACAATATGTAATTAAATACACTTCAAATTTCATTAAAAACCTGGGCCTACTTGCACAAAGCGATCTTAGCACTAAGATGATCGTAGCTCCCATACTTTAACATAGGCTTACAATAGTTGCAGCACTAACATCACTTTGTGCAAGTTAGCCCTGGACTGGAGTAGCAGCACTGAAATAATATACTTACAGTTTTGATCGGAATCCTCAATTAAGATGCGAAGTTTCTGAACACAAAGCTGAGGGTGAAAGAAACAAACCATTAAGGCTAAGTTACCCTAGCAACAGTCTAGCCACATAGGTGAAGACAACAATTACCATTCTGATGACAGAAACATGGCAGCACTGGTGCAATACCAAACTCCTACCACATCGTACCCTAACCATAATCAGAAACTCTCATTTAGTATATAGTTACAGAAATTTAAACCATACATTTAATTACAAATGAAATATACACATACTAGTAATAAATCACATTTTTTTTACATTTTTACGAAAATCTTTAAAAATGTTAATTTCCAATTTCTGAAAAAACAAATATGTTTAAGAACATTACAGTTAATATTCTGATGGTGTTTCATTTATAGGTTCTTATCAACTCATATCAACAACACCATTTAAAGCAAATATACACATGTCACTTGATACAGAGAACAAAATAAACATACCACACTCCCACCAACTAAAACTACCAACACACCATTTGGCCATCAGGTTACCATGACAACCAGTCACTGGTGAACACCTCAAGCCATTCCTGCAAAGAGCTTCAACCGATATCACCAATGAGGCAACGCTGCCAAACTTCAGAAATTGTTAATTAAAGTGCAGTTCGGGTAAGTGTAATGACTGAATACTTGGCTGTGCTCATGAAGATACTTCTGTGTGTAGAGTATCAATGTATCTTCTCCACCCACAACCCACATGCATTGCTTACACATTTGTCAACAGATCAGGTGATGTTAGTCCATGGACCACACTGTATTACAATTTATTCCAGATTCCCACATTAACAAGAGAGGAATATCAAATTGTAGACCAGCAAAATTTGTAACAGTATGTTTTAACAGAACCTTTTTAATTACCCATGCAGCTGTAGCCAAAGGGAGACAACCCAACTCAGCAAGAATGGCTTGTTTCGGACACCAGATCGATCACCTTTACAAAATCTATTAGCCTTACTCTAGTATGCTTAATGATGGTTAATATGTATGTTTGTACTTATTACTTGTTTCTTTGTTTATTTTCTTCTTGTTTTCCATTATATTTTATAATTAACATACGACAGAAAAATTATTTAGAAATCCATCACAGAAATATTATCAGAATTTGTAGACAGAAAGATGAACTTAGATCATGTACGTAATGATCGTCACTAGGTGAGATCTATCTGGTGGTGCGCGAGGTGGTCAGTCGGCAGGTAGATGGACGGAGGGGCAGTAGGAAGGACATGAGGTAGTAAATGTACCTGAATTGAGGCGGTGTGGTTGGGGATGCCTGAAGATATAGAAAGGAGGACTGTAAGAGGAGAGAGAACATCGTCAGTATGTGTCCGCAGTGAACCTATAGCCCAGGCTACTGTCTGGGGCAACGTCAGTTACCATGGTTACTTGTGCTTCCAGCACGTCACAGAGTTGACCCCTTGGTCAACCTTACAACATCTGTTACTACATACACAGCTTCACTTTCATGGAGATGTTTATAACATATACTGAGCTTTAATGTCTCATCTTACACCCAAATAGAATTCAAACAATTATTCCCGACACTATATGTCTCCTTTTACACAGGTAATCTATTCTCTCTGCAGTTGTCACAGTCAGTGTCTATGACAATAGGCATAGTTACAAAAGCTGAGGCTAAACAGGCATATATATTGCATTAACTCCAATAAGTGCTCTACCTGCATTATCATGATTATGGATCATTCATAACAGGCCATTTATCCGGTCAAAATTCATATACTGCATTGCCCAACAGGGCTGTAATTCAACAAAACCCGTCATCAGACTGTAAAGGAGAATACTGTCAACGTTTAGTTCTTTTTGACATCAAAAAGTTTGAAGATCAAATCACAATTGTTTGAAAAACTTCAAACTTCAGTGATTAGTGGCCTGGAAACACTATGCACTGATAATCAGAGATGATATACTGTGTGAAAAAAAGTAATTCTTTGAGTAAAATTGTTATTCATATTCATTTCCAACTGTAAAAACCATTCATATGACTGCATATGTGAAGACACTTAGGGAAATGGTGTGCAAGAACACACTCAATATAAGTGTTTAACATCTCCATGACAAGAAGTGAGTGATAGTTATACAATGATGGTATCAACACTGACATGATGATTGATAGTTCCACAAGACAGACAGACATCTAGCTAGCATGCACAGGTGCCCCGACACATAATGTGGACTCCATATCAGAGTCAGAAAGTAGGGGGCTCATGGAGTCCTTCAGATTTTCTGCTGTGTGTTTGAAACAGCTGGTGTGAAACACCTAAATCTTAACATAAAAGATACAGACCCCTTGACTTCAAATTTCTAACACTGTATACACAGATATATATATATACATAGAGAGAGAGATTGCATGCAATGCATGGAGACAATGATCATGTTTATATATTCTTGAATGAAAAAAATACCTAGATAAATATTAAGAAGAAATGTTATCTATTGCTCGAGATTCATAGATTTGTAGGCGGCTTAGCCACATAGTACCGGGTAACTATAGAATACAAATTGCAACAGAATCACTGGGAATATTATCCCATCATGCTTCATGTTGAAATTAAAGCATCAATAGACGATTCTCATTTCTTTAGGGGGGACGGATGTGCTCTATTTTTTCTTTTATCATATTAATTAGCTTCATTTATCTCGCTTTCTTATAATTTCGAGTTTGTGATTGGATTCGTATCCATCAATATCGTATCAAATATAAGAGAGGTTAACGTTGAGCAAGGCTATCTAGCAATACCAACTGGTTACTATAGTCCCAGTACGGCGTGTTACAACAGTGTTGCTGTACTGCTGATATTCAGTGAGACTGTGTGGGTGTACACCCAGCAAAGGAGGTAATGAGGGTTGCCATGGGTCAATGTCAATTACATAATTATATCAGTAATGAAGGTCATATAATGCAAGAAGGAGAATGCAAAATGTAAATGTAAACAAAGTGGGAAACAGAACGACAGACTGGAGAAAGAAACAAGCAGCATTGATAGGGAGACTTGGCGTTAGAAATGGCAAACCAAAATGTCAGTGCATCAAAAATATACAGTTGTTGAATACTAGACTACAGTACCAGCGTCTATATCATACATTTTGTATTTTTTACTAATAAGAAAACAAGTCTGTACTATTGAATCTGATAACAATTTGCAAGATAAAAATGAGAAATTATTTGACTGATTAAAAATTTGGAAATAATAATTAATAGACTCTGGAATGTTTTACACAAATCGTCACTGCAGACACAAAACATAATGAAAAATAAGACATAGAATTATTTGTTTTGTGCTCAAAATATCATTCATTATTTCATCAACAATCAAATTTCAATTGACATCAAAATAACAATGCAAAGTTATGACAAGGAATATTATGGATAACAATGTCTTTGTTAATTATTATATATACACATTTCAGTGGCTACTCCTTGCCCCTTCAGCCCTTAATGTGTATGTATAATAAAGAAGTTGTATATTCCATGTCATAATTATACCAACTTCTATGCAGGAAAACACTCTCAACGATGTAAAGACAATGATAATAATTACTTGAAACATTTCACTCTGGTCATCTGCAGGAATCAGTTAGAACTAGAAGAGTTAACATGTTTGACGAATTTGCTGTCAAACTTCTGCTTTTCTAACCCAATTTTTTTTTCAGAAAACCCAATGGACCCCGTCTGTCACTTTCAATAGTGAGTCAGTGAGTGACGCCACTGGTTTTACGCCACTTTTAGCAATATGCAAACAATAACATGGCGTTTTGACCATGAAACGTGTCACTATCTAACATCACAAATATCAAGCATGTTCCTCCTGCAGATAAGCAGAATGACACAAGTAAAACCAGCAGGTCACATGATATTAACAATCAAACGGAAGGAGAATTCATCATTAGTTTGTCAAATGACAATTGACGATATGTATGTCAAATATATTTCCAGATGTTTTCAATGTCAACATTGTTTTTCACACAATCATTTAAACAGAAATTTAAATCAACAGACAGTTACTTGAAACAGTACCTTATCACGACTGACAAAATTAAAATAAACATATACTGAATGAATGAATGTTGTTTAACGCCAGTCAGGCATATCCCAATACCCGCTTGAGTGACATGATTAATTCATCTTTAAGTTGACCTAATGTTTTAAAGTTGAAGACTGGAAGCATAAAGTGCAGAAAAAATTTCATTTTCTTAACATTTCTTAACACTTCAGTGGAATGAGACCCATGCTGTGAATGTCGTAGACCAAGCTTACGAGAATGAAAGTAAGTTTACAAGATACAGGCTTTGGGCCACTGATTCACTGTTTCTCCACTCCCTTCTCATAAAAGTGTCATTTTGTCTTAAACTATTTACTGTGATGTTAGTACACAGATCGCACAGCAAAGACATGGAACCCTTACAGTGTGCATGGTGCTAAACACTTGATGTTCACATACAAATACTCGTTTGATATATATTCATTTGAGGTATAGTCACTGATTTCATTCTTAAATATATTTCACAATTTCACAAGCACATCTGTGTACCTCAAGATGTGATCGCCACCATAGCAGTTCCATGTCAGACAAGATCTCAGGAAAATGTCAGTAGAATGATAGAAGCCATCTTGCCAGTTTCTAGTCTCTCGGCCTTAGCAATTATGTTTAGTACTTAAATGCAGTCGCCTAAAACTTTGATTATTTCCAACCAAACCAGAGAGATCAACAATTTAAAAGAAATCACAATCCTGTCCATAAATAGGTAATGGTGCATCCATGTCGCACAAATAAACAGTGTGTCAGATATATTACTGCCGAAGTGATTATTTCACACTGGGTAAATCCCTGAGACAGCCTAAGGTATACCAGTGTGATTGTTTTAGATAAATAACATAAGGACATTTTCATGATTTTAGCAACTTTTGATAGTACATTCTTTGATCTCATTACCAAATTAGAACTAAATCTTCTGAAAATGTCTGAAACCAAGTACTGGAACTTCCGATACAATCCCAATAATAATAGCAACTCCCTACAAACTGGCAAGGGCAGGACTTCAGTCATTGTCTTGTGAACTAAGTGAAGGATGTAGGTCTTACTCACCAGCTATCACCGTGTTAATACATTCGTATAACAGCGACATGGCCGATGTGCTGAAAGTAACATGAATACTACTACAATAACTGAACATACAATAAGATCGGACTATTCCTTTCATGCAGTGAATTTAATAGAAGCAGAATCACTGTCAGAAATTGCACCACATCTCCAGTTCAATAAACACGTTAAGAGTCAGAGGACTGGTGTCTTGTCTGAAAATCAACCTTATTCCAATGACTAATTACAGAGCCCCAGATAACTTTTGAGCAATTGAGTTTCTACTCAAAGGGTTCTATTTTAATTTGGTTATTACATTTTTCATTGGGTAACCAATATTTTTTCACTCATCTATTCATCACTCTATTGGGTTTTTCCCTAAATCAGTGAACATTTTGAGATTTAATTTTTTTTTAATGTTTTAGATGTGTATATATAAGGGTTTATAACTATAGGCTTGACCCAGAAAGTAAATTAGCTCGTAATTGTGTTTCGGAAATTACCTCCATCATGTGTCCATTGTACACATGGTAATCCATTGTACACATGGTAAAAAGCTTCATTGGGTATTTACACATGCTGTTTTTATACAATTGAGTTTTTCATTTAATGCATGCATTTCTGTACGCAAGTTAATTGAATGTAATTGGGTTTTGAATATATTTTTTGGGAGGGTATTTTACATAAAGACGCAGCTTATCTGTAGCTCTGTAATTATGATTACTTAATGAATATATTTTTGTAAAAACAAAAACATAATACCAGCAAAAAATGTTTATCAATACGAAACAAATAATGCTGAATACCTTCAATGAAAGTTTGACAAAAGAAACTTGTCCGCTATTCCGAGACATATAGCATGTATAGAGAGAAGTTGGCGTTTAGTCACTTTCTAGATATGAACTTTGGACTAGTTTTGAGTGAGGCTAGTTTCTACTAGTAGTGAATCTACTCATACTAGTCATAGCCAAGTACCAAGTAACTGTTAAATACCTATGAATCAAGTTGGTGAGAGGCTCAATCAGCTTCTTCCCAAGTCGAGGTTCGAGAGGTGTTAGAGCACTGAACTGGAAAGGAAAAACAACCACGATATACAACACATGATTTGATAAGGATAATCCTATTGTTTCATAAAACACTCCTAATTTCGAAGTTAAAGCCACAATGAGGCTGTGACATCTCAATGGCCGTGACCAAAGTGGAGTAGTCATGTGATAACTTCACTGTATTATGTGTTATTTCTCAGTAACAGTCCAATTTTCTCAAGAGAGAGTTATCATGAATGATAAGATCACACAACCATGTACAATACTTCAATAGGTCAGCAGTGGAAAGAACATAATCTGTCGGGCAGGGTTGTGTGTATATGTTTGAGATGTCACAGCTACAGCATGCTGCAAACAGACATACCAGTTTGATGATCTTGATGAGGACCCAGTTGTTGGTGGAGCTGGTCATCAGTTTGAAGAAGAGTGGGGCTAGAGACAGATAGTTCTTGGGGTTCTTCCTGGCCAGCTCACAGATGACATTGACGGCTGCAGACTGGACCCCTGCAGGACAAAGTGGTCGGTCAACAGCTGATACAGCACTTCTACACGATTCTTGAAAAATACTACTCAAAGTTTGCTAAACATCACCACCATAAAGGTAATATGTCAAATTGTGTGCCTCTGTTTAAATAGCCAAAGAAGATATTGCATGTAAACATGTTCACCGAGCAAAAGTCTATTGTCATGTGCCACACAATGCTCACAAACATGTGACCAATGACCAGTCAGAATACCCGTCAAAATGAGTGTATCTGATCCAAACTGAAACAAAAATAAATTTATTGCAAAATAAACAACTCCAGGAAAGTGTATGCAATCTCTGGATGTGATCATATCCTGGCACTGTCTTCTCGTGCTCCAAATAGGTGTCTGGGTGGTTGCAAAGGGAACATAGTTCCCCTCTTCAGAAAGAGTGTTGCCAGTTTCCTGTAGAGTCCCCGGAAGGACAGGGTGTCGTGAGAGGGCAATCTGAGCTTGTTTTACATGTGTTGGATAGGGCTGTGGTCTGGTGACCAGGCCGGCCTCTCCATGCGGACAATGGTCTAATGCTCTAAGTAGGTCTCAGGGACCCTAGCACAATGAGGTTGTGTGTTATCATCCAAGAGGATCAATTCCAGTCTGATTGCACCAGCATATGGGCTCACGTACATATTCAGAATATCATCCCTGTAGCGCACACACCGGTCAACGTACTGTAGGACATGAAGCTCAGTTCTTCCAGATCTACTGACCCAACCCCAAATCATGATTGATTTTCAGAATCCTGAAATATTTCTCCTTGTCAAATGCAACGATCGGGCACGACAATCTGTGAAGTCTAGACAGTATCTCGAGTAATCAGTCCAATCGATATGATCCTCATGCCAAATCTTAATGGGCCTGTCTGTCAGTGGGATGCAAATGCCCACGTGACCTGACACATGCAAGAACTGGCATTCAGCAGGTCATTTCTGAGTCTTGTGGCAGTCACAAGTGATGACATTAGAGGTGTAACAATATGGTGGGGTCACGATATGATACGTATCCGGATACTATGGGTGCGACATGATTCGTATCCTGATACAGTACTTTTATTTCACAAGTTGATAATCTTTCATTTTGCAGGTGAATCACAACCCTGTGATCATTTTTTATGAAATTTCAGAGATCAAAGACGGGATAGGGAAGGACAAAAACATATTGGTAGAGGGCACTGTGAATGTTATGCTATGAATATCCAACCATGAAATACTAGAAAATCTGCATTACCTGGTGGTTGGACACTTTCTGTTTTATTCACATGTTTTTACACCAAAATAACTAACATTGCGATACAGGGGTAATGATTCGATGTATTGCATCGTGGACCTCATATCATAATACAATACTGTATCACCATATTGTTACACCACTAGATGACGTCTTGCTGCAATCAGGCGAAACCCCATACTTTCCCGCTGTGTGGTGGAATGCTGTCGACCACCTGCATATCACTGATCCAAACACCTGTATCTACTCCATGCCCTGCCTATTCCACTTTGACTGATGCCAAAGACGAATGCAACGTTACATTGTGTTAAGCCAGTTTCAAGCAAGTCAAACAAGATGTCTTTGATGCCGAGGAGGTATAAGTGCATTCAGTTGTTGCAATCCTCAGAAGCAATTGTTGTGCTCTCTGATAATGATGTGCAATGATTCTGACACAATACATCCAAGACAAAACACTGATTCCCAAGTACATTGTGCACATCGTGCCTTTGACGGCATGTCTCTGTCCGTTCATCATGAAATTGAGGTGCTAGAGCTACCAGGATATTTCAATTTTTATTTATAGGATGTTTTTTTTAATATCATCAAAACTGATCCTTAGCAAACTTTGAGTAGTATATATATATACAGTAAAACCACATCAGCTCATAATGGGGGCCGTCAGAAATATATCTAGTTATCCATTTTTCGAGCCAGGTGGCATGCCCATATAAGGTCATAGTGCCATAGAAATGTACCATAACCTTCAGTAGTGTTCTGCGTTGAGTTGCAATGTTGTGTTCTGCATCAAAGATACTGTGGTATTCTAAAAACATCTTTCAATCATTTGATAAAGAGCTTCTCTCTGTCTGCAATCAGACCAATAGCAATCCATCAGTGAGATCAGCTAGCACTGACGAGAAGTGATGTAAATATTTCAGGGATATATTATTATCATTGATTGACCAATAAAAGAGAACTGAAGAACTTAGAGAGAACTGAAATCTGATAGCTTAGTTACATTCAAAATTTTCAAAAATTCCTTAATTTGTAACTAATTACACATAAACACATTCATCATCAATACACAACCTTTCAAGCAGTTTCACTAATGGAAAGATTTTCTAAAATTTCAAACGAACATGTCCGGTATATAGAGACAAAACGAGACATCAGATGTAACACACTGACTATGACCAATAACCAACACTACCACTACTCACCAGGGTCAGCATCCTCTAGTTTCTCCTTCAGCCTGGGGAAGGCAGGGCGGAGTGCCTCGGGGAACTGGAGGAAGACCTTGTACATGATCAACACCGCCTTCTTCCGCAGATATGGCCGAGATGAGGTCATCTGCATACAATACTTGCTTGTTAACAGGGTTGAACACCAAATGTGGACAGTACTTCCTTATTTGACAATAGGTCAACATGTACACAAGACATCACAATTTCTATTACTTTAATTTGTTACACTGACACAGAGCTAAGACTGATATGAATACTTGGGTCAAACGACTCATTACCCTTTAAAACATGACCTAGAGTGTGTGACTGACTTGTTTTGAGCGGCAGTCAAAAATAGTCCAGCCAAATCATGGCAGCCTGTAAGTAATCAACCAAACAAACCAGTGACAGACAACAAGAGTAGTAATCCGTGGCACCAAGGCATAATGATACACAATTAGACAAGAGTCATCCGGTCTCGTGCAATTCGGATATGGAGCTTGGTGACTTATATCCTACTTTTGGTTCATTGCCACTGGATACCTTCAGTTCGGTGAAGAGAAATATAATGCTGTTCAGTATTTTTCAAAATCCCAAGGCACCAGTTCACCAATAGTTTGATCCATATAGCAAGCTTCATCCAGAAATATTTAACGGTTCAGGAATTCTGCTCCAGAAACAAGCACTACCCTCATCTTTAGGAAAGTCTTAGAGTCATGAAAACATAAAAAATATAAAAAATAAACATCCCAAATCATCAAGAAGCACCAGTTCACCACGAGACTGATCTGTATAGCAAGTTTCGTCTAAAAATATTCAACGGTTTGGAGTTTTGCTCCAGAAAGGAGCACTACCTTCATTTTCAATTTGTCACGGAAAACAAAATCCTAAGTCATCAAAAGACACCAGTTCCCCACTAGACTGATCAACATAGAAAGTTTCAACAAGAAATATTTAACGGTTTTGGAATTCTGCTCACGAAACAGAAAAAGGACAGACGGACAAGGTGATCGCTATATCCCTCCGTTCTTCGAACCCGGGGTTAACAAGTCAACAAGTCTGACAATCAAATCCTCGGCCAACATGACAAGTGTTGGATACTGGGGATGCATTCCTTACCCGAATCTTTGCAGTGTTCGAGATTGTTCACGAAAAGACAGTCTTTTCTTCTAATGTTCAATGACCCAGGCCTCTAGCATCATGAAGTACTGCTGATACATGTACAACTACAACTCACCAGTGTCATGATGTCATTAGCGAGATCCCTGGCCAAGTCTGCAGTGATGAAGCATGACAGCCCGCTGAGAGCCACACCAGCATCATAGATGTGCTGACTGCTGAGATCCTAAAGGCACAAGTCAATATCATGTGTCAACATGCAGTTTGTGATGACAATACAGTTCTGAATGTATCTATATTTCACAAATAAATGATAATGAAAGGACAAGCACATAGAAAACTGACCACGTAACATTTGTATGATAATGGAGTATTCTCAAATAAGCATTCAGCGGTAAGAGGTTGTATTTACCTTTCTGATCATGTTGGTTGTTAACATCAGGACATCTGTTTCATCATGAAAACACTGCGAAGCCGACAAATATCCAATCCGCTGAAAAAACAAACATGTGGTTAAATTTCACATCATAGTGTCCATATTCAAAATGTATTATATATTGTGCATATTCTTAATGCGCCAAATCCAAACCCTAAATCATTCTCAAAACGCAGCATTAATACCCTAATCAATGGGATCAGTGTGCACTCGATTTTCATTCTCAGCTCCCTGGGGAGTATGCAACCCAAGCTGCCTGTGAGGTGCCAGAAGGTTATCAGCCACATTATCATCTCATCCTACCGGGTATCCATTCACTGCTGGGTGAACAGAGGCACATTCGGACAAAGTCACTTGTCACTTGTGCTACATGTGCTTCAGTGAGGGGCAGGACCAAAGCCCAAGACACTCTCAAGAGTTAAGCTGGCAACTGCAGTCACACATCCAACTATCCTCAATGACCAACATAGCCTCACTTCACCTGATTTGTGACCTGTGCGCTGAACACAGGACCACATGCCACCATGTGCTTCTCAATGTACAAAGTTAATAGTTTGTCCTCTGCAAAAGTATTTCCAAACACTAATTAGGCTTGTGACAAGAACCTGTTAATTTTGCTCTCAAACTTAGAAAGAATATACATGTATGGAGTACACATCTCAGTTCACTAATTTAGGACTGTCTTTATTGTGAAAGTAGATCATTTATTATACTGACTTTTATAGTGAACTTGGTGGAGCTCATGACCTCGATGATGTTGAAAGCTGCCCAACTGATGTCGTAGCCCAGCATCTGGAGCTGAAGACAAAACACAACCAAAGATTTTACATTGCCAGCCTCACAGAGGAGATAAATCCATGTGGTACCTACATTTGTCAAATCCATCTTGTCAACCAATAATCTTGTTGTATGTTGTTGTGTAACATAACTACACCATGTACACTTTGGTATAATACTACTGGGCCATAAAGTTTTCACACTGATTTTTAAAAAGTGGACTAACACTAGCAGCAAAAACAGAAGAAAAATAAGCATGAAATACTCATATCCTGAGGCAATATGACATGTCAAGTTGTGTGCAAGGCATTAGCCCTCCGAAAACGAGCACTATCGCCATTTTGAGTCAAAGTCAAAGTCGTTGCTATGGCAACTCAAAAAAATAATTTTTCAAAAATCCAAAACTATCAACAGGCTCCAGTTTACCACGAGACCTATCTATGTGCCAAGTTTGGTTAAGATAGCTCTCATGGTTTTCGAGTTCTGCTCCGGCAACGAAACATGACGGACGGACAGATCACACCCATTTCTATATACCCCTTCCACTTCATGGCGGGGTAAAATAAATATGCTGCAGCCACATAGCAATGGGAGTAAAAGACATCTCAAAGAAAGTAAGAAACAGTGAGGTTTACATCAGATATTATATTAAAGTAAATAATTAATATACAAGGTAAAACCCATTTTTCAAAAACCTTAAAACAAAATACCTGCTTACATGGCTAAAATTAGCATTTTATTGACAATACAAAGGCTTGGCCACACTAATCGTGTTACTAGTAAAACTGACCGATACAATGTCTAGAATAGTTACATCGTACCTTCCACTTGACCCTTGAACATTTTCCTGGCACTAACCATCAACCATTTTACATCATTGGCTACAGTAACTGTTACTTTCTCATACCGCCAACAGCTGCCAATAAACACGTGTTACCACATCCCAATGCTGATAAGGCTATGGTAATTAGCTGACAAGGTGATGACTTACATATGTGAGCTTGTTGACAGCATTGGACTTGATGGCCAGATTCTCCTGCTTCAATTCCTGTTTGATCTCGTCGATGCATTCTGCTATGTACTTGGCCTACAGCACAAAACATTAATCAACATCTCATCAGTATTAAAACCCAGCTGACAATAATTCTAAAATATGCAATCAAACATGAGTGTTGGAGTTAAAACAATGTCGCATCAGCATTATTTCAGCCATATAATGACAAGGCAATCAAACAAACTAAGAGCATTACTTAGCACTCTGATGTAATGAGCACTCAGATGTTATCAGCACTCAGATGTTATCAGCACTCAGATGTTATCAGACTAAAGAAATTAATCATTGTTATCGTATGAAAACAATCATACACACTTGCATGACATAAATCACTGACATTTTGAAACTGTTCAATATTTCTTCAATATACTCATAAACGGAGACAAATTTTATATTATGCATTATTACTCTTATTACACCACCTGATTTGCTAGTATGAGCATGTTAGTCAATGTCTGTATTAGAGTTAGAGAAATTGGAGAAAAATCTTAATGACTGAAAGCATAACTCGGTCACAATACAATCTGATAACTTTATTGATTTATTTTATTGACTGGCTGATGAAAGCTTTTACGTTGTGTTATCTTTCAACGTACAGGTACTTACTAGCGTTACCTTATTTACAACATATTTGGGTCAACTACAGGAAGTACAAGTACAGGAATCAAATAAAGAGCATTTAATCCCAGTTTGTGACCGTGTCGTACTTTGTAGCAGAATCTGTCGATCTGTCAAAGAAGTCAAAAACTGAGTGACACAAGGAATCAGAAAAATGACTGAAATTTTATTTCTAAAAAAGAAACTAAATGAATTAAGACACAGACTCAGCATTGGAAACTAACACTTTTAGTCCACTAGTCATTATAATGATAACATATAGCAAAACCCCTTAAAATAGCAAATTTCTACTTATGATACCTTAACTATTGAGGAGTTTGGCAGGGACTACCATGACTACAGGACTAGTGACAATTTCTAACGCTTCAGACTGCAGCCTATTTTAACATAAAACAAAAGGTATTGAATGATTAGACTTAAAACAATACAAGGACTGCATAGATTTCCCACTCAAAGCTCTTTACTATTGTTTAACAACATGTCACCAGGGAGGTATTTTACAAGCATCAGGCTCACATCACAGACTCCTATAATCACGACAAAGCAATTCTTATATATAAACCCATGATCAGTAGACACTGGCAAAAATAGCGTAAGTCAGAATGTACTACTCACGTGGACATTTGTTTTACGATATTTATCAAAAGGCATTTTCATGCATGAATGTCGCCAATTGTCAATAGCATATCAAACTGCTTCATTTACTGGTCATAAAATGAATACAAACTGCTCAAAATGTACCACACACTATAATGTACAGGGTGACCATACAATTGCTAATTAATATTGCTACAACTCCCTCCACTGTCCTTCCACCTTCACAGTGTCATATATTGATCTTGCTAACTTGTAATGCAGCAGCGAAAAGTGATTTTTTTATGTCATAAACTCACCCACACATATCACTCTTGTCATAAAATCAATCCAACATCTACATTAGTCTCATAAACAAGCTTTGAACATATAACAGACAGGCATCTTGAACTTGTTGAAGTTTTACAGAAATGTCAGGTGTAGACTTAAGGAAATTTGTATCTAGCCAGCAGGGCTTTATCCTTTTAAAAGCTACTTGGCTTTCTCCTTTTTCTGCACTCTGAGAATAAATCTTGACTTCAAGCTGCCTCATTTTCTGATGATATATATGAGCAAATAAAGATGTTGTTGTACACTTTGCAAAATAGTAGACGGTTGTCATTCTACCGAGATGACTGACATATATCCTTCTTTGAGTTAATCATTTACAAGACCCCATCCCCCTAAATATTTTCTCATCAAAATTACATGACTCAAGAATAGTGTCCAATTAATAAAATTAAAGCTACATGGAGGTGAGGTGAAATGGGGTTTAACGTCGCGTCCAAGATTATTGCACTTATATAGCGATGTGCATGTACGTGTGGCTGCTTGTACTAGTCCGGACTGATGCAGATTTATAGTGCTAGCTCACTGAGATACCATGCCGCAGTTTAACATGAATATCCCACTCAGACACAGTATACTGACTCCGAGCCGACAAGTCCTTGTTTTAGCCCCTTAATGCCGAGCGCCAGACAGGGTAACAACAAGTACCATCTTTTAACGTCTTTTGGTATGCCGCGGCCGGGGATCGAACCCCGGACCTTCCGCTCTCTGGGCGGACGCTCTACCACTAGACCACGGAGGCGGTAAAGCTACATGGAGAAGGGGCGAAATTTTGACTAGGCAGACAGGCCATCTACCTTACGTTTCAACATGTCCTTTGTAATTTTAACTGACCAAGGCCAAGCAGTTCAATCATCTCAACAGACCCATGAAGATTCCGGGATAGAATAGGTCTTCAGCAACCCATGCTTGCCGTAAAAGGTCACTATGCTTGTCATAAAAGGCAACTAACGGGATCGGGTGGTCAGGCTCGCTGACTTGGTTGATGCATGTCATTGATCCCAATTGCATGGATCGATGCTCATGATATTAATCACTGGATTGTCTGGTCCAGACTCGATTATTTACAGACTGCCGTCATATAGCTGGAATATTGCTGAGCGCAGCGTTAAACAACAAACAAACAAAAAACCAATCATCTCAACTCTGATCATTATGATTCTGTTTCTTACTGATTATTGTTACAGTGAAAATAAGATTTGTGCCACATAGAAGAATTTTTACTAAATGGACTAAAACTGTTTTGGCAATTGTGATGAAAGCCATGATGGGTTTTACAGCAAATAAAATGGATGAAAGATAAAGTAACACAATTAAAATCAGATCTTTTTCTCTGATGCTTATACCCGAGAAAGGTATTTTCTCTCATGCTGTAGCATTTATTTTTTTTCGGGGGGGGGGGGGGGGGGTATGCATTTTGCCATGTTCTTTAGGACAGGTTATGTAAATAAGGGCTTAATATTCCTTCACCCTATCAAATGTATTATGTATAATTCATCACCAGCATATGCCAACATACATGATTTAACAGCATGAAAATATGAGGCTTATATGACCCTTAATATTAAAAAATAACAAGGTACCATGCCAGGATTATGGTAAAAATAAATTCTTTTTTCATTTCCAATCAACAACTATGGTACTAGTGTATTGTTAACAAGTACAACTGATGTAAACAATGATCAGGGAGACAATTAGATCAGACTAAATCATGTAAATCAAACAGACCTTTATACACCTTATCTGAACTCAAAGATAACTCACAATGACGAACGTCAATATTATGCTTAAGTCCTGTACTGAGCAGGTTATCTCCAAGTGTTTTGTTATGTGACATGCAAGAGTATTCCTTGACCTGTCATATAAGCAGGCTATTCAAAAATGTAAAAACATAACATGCTTCGATGGTTATGAAAAGGCATGTGATCAACTATCTTATTGCAACACCGTTCATGTGACAGCCTACCCTGCCTTATCGTCCTCAAACTGTTAAGTTGGATGATTATTTCAAAATTGATGTATAATTCATAAATGACATCATGCAACAAATAATTTATGATAACCAAAATACAATAACTTTCCAAAACAAATGCATCCTTTAAGCTGAAAATACGGACTTACAGTGCTTATCCGTAAACAGTATATCGTTTGTCCCTCCCACTTTTAGGTCTAAATTACACTGATAATGACGGGTTCCACATCGGCAGTTTACCGGCTACCGGCTTCTGCGCAGATCAAGCGAAGACGGAACTAACGTCTCTCAGATAACTAACTAAAATTATCAATACATTTATCCTGATTTAGATCTAAGATTCAATAGGTAATTATGACATAGGACACATCAGGTGACATGACATATTGTGGCAAGCGAAACCTGCCACCTCATTTTCCTTGTGATTTCTTATGCCTCGTACAAGATCTTGCAAATTCTTGTCCAGGACCCGTTCTAG